TAAACTGAGTAAAAGTAGCAACAGCAACAATTCCAATACAAGGAGTGGAATGTGGGGAAAAACAGCTAAAGCAAGGGAAATCTCTAAACAGGACAGTTCTGATAACACAAATGCCTGCGTTTTCTTTGGCAGCAGCAGCTGTTTACCAATGATCGTTTCCACATATTCCGAGTTGTCGTTGACGTTGAAGAGGTCACCGGCTCCCAGGGCATAGTTGAGAGATTCCTCAAAAGCTCCCAAGTGGTAAAACACTTTGGAAGCAACCAAAGCAGCAAACTGCCGACTCCGGAAGCCCTCATCTTCGTAGAGAACTTCACTGAAAAGAGGAGAGAGAAGAGCTTCATCTTTGTGCTCGGTTCTCTTAAAGGCCACACGTCAGACTGGCTGAACTTTCGTCTTTGGGATGACAGTTTCAACACCACATTCCTTCAAAATTAATGCTTTCTAGGAAGCATGAGGCTAGATCCCATAGCCAGTATGAGGCAAGGAGAATGACATGCACTTAGTGTATCATTTCCTCTTAAAGCAGCACACCCTGCAGTAACGGGTGCTTTTTCTTACATTTTATCCACTGACTCGGAGATTTCTGCCCAGAAGTCATTGACAACAGCATTCAGCTTGTGAAGAGCAAACTCCTAGAGATAATAATAATACAAAGTTATGTTACATAAACAATGCATTTAGTACCTTCCCTCGGCAAAAAATTATGTGTGATCCAGCACTAACAAGAATTGATCCACCTAAACAACAAGCCCTACTTTAATAAAGTTCCACAAAGGCTCTCTAATCTTTGCAACTCTTCTGCAAAAAAATGGCTGCTTCACTTACGAGCAGAGGAGCCTGATGCTCCTTCCCATGGTCTCTCTGTGAGGTCTGGTTGGCTAAAACAGATGAAAGCTCAAATTCCTCAAAATGCAAAGTTTTCAAAGGGTCTGGAACAACCTTAAGATAGCACAAAGAACTCCAGCCCACGGTCTACACCAGCCAACACTATTAATTAACTTGGACACTATGCTTTCCCAGATGAATGATATACAGGCTGTAAACAGCCCACTTCCAACCAGCTCAGAGCAAAGCAGGATAGATCAAATCTATCACCATTTATGTCTGTTTTGAAGCAAAACCTGCAGGGGATTGCCTACATTACAAGATGCACCCCTCCTTCCTAAAAGGAGATCTGTCCTTGTGCTCAGACAATCAGAGAGCATCACCGATCCATCATCACTTTGGGTGTTTGGTGTCGTCCAGTGGATTCAGAACTCTGAGGGCTGCAGAGCTCCTGCTGCTGTTATCTTCTCTTATTACTAATGCAACTTTCTTTCAAGAGAAAACTCTTAAGTGTGATTATTATTTCACATGCCTGCAGTTATGCTAACAACTCTTCAGCTTTGAATTTTACATAGTCAAAATGCAGTCTCTGGTACACATTTAAGTAACAAAGTCCCACTATGATTAAGATAAGCGGAGGCTTCAGCAAAGCCCCAGTTTGATCCATATTCAAAACAAAGAACTTTGCCATCTGTTTTTTTTCAGTCCTTGCTTTCAGACTGGATATTACCTGGAGCTCACCTGTTCCTGGCTAAGAATTACAGTTACTGAGATCCAAGCATTTTTTACTTTAAGCTCAAAAGCAATGCATTTGCCATTATTTTTTGCCAAATGTAATAAGCAGCACCTTGAGCTTACCTTGAGCTGTGGCTCTTCTTCATCCAGAAGAGAGATAATTCCAGCTGCAAAACAAGATCACAGTCAGTTTGGGACTGCTTTAGATGTGAATGTGCCATTTAGCTCAAAAATAAAAACAGGAAAGAACGCTGATGTTGGAATGCTGGTAAAATCTTCCATATTAACATTCCAAGACCAGATCCAAGTTCGTACTAAAAATAAAATAGCTTATAATTTATAATTGAAAAGGTACATTCCTCATAAAAGATGATCCTTTTTTGAAGAGCTTGGATGGAAGAACAGCCATAGATGGCTCACTGTCAGACCAGAAGGCTGCAGCTGAAAGAATGGGCAGAGGACCTGCCTGAGTTCCAGCACAACTCACTAATGTTGATCTTCCATGTCACATACATTGATAACTTTTTTAAACCTGCAGGAGATACCAAACTAGAAAGGCCAGCAAGCCTGCTGACAGGCAGAACTGGGCTTTCAAAAGGTTTTGACAAACTGTGAGAAGGGAGGGAAGAATCCAAGGGGAGTGTAACATTCCAAAGGGAGAGCAAAGATCAAATCTAAAACACTTGACATAGAAAGGAATCACAGTGGCAGTGCAAACTCAGCTGAAACACTACCAACAATATCATATGGCTGCACCAGGAGGCACAGAACCCAAACTTCACACTGAGATGTGGGAGAGTGTTTCCTGGCAGATGCAGGAGACAATCCTCCCCTCTGCTTGGCACAGATGTGCCCACACACAACCAGTATCCTCTGCTAGGCACCCTGCTACAGGAGCAGGCTGGGGCGTACAGAGCTGAGCAATGACAAAAGGTCTTAGGAACCACGACTCAGAAAGGCTGACTGGAGGCCTGGAGCTGGCCAGTCTGCTGAGATAAGGCAGCTGTCAGCAAAAAGCCAAAAAGATGACTGATCTGATCTCTGTGTTGAATACGAAGAGCAGCAATAGGACCAAGTTATATTTGGAGCTCTAATGGCTGAGGTGCAATGACAAGAAAAGCTTTCTGACAAAAGAAAGTTCCTCGCTTTGCCTGTAAAATGTGGAATTTCTATTGTCAGAGATTTTGGACTTGTATCTGTCAGCAGCAACTGGAAGAACACTGAAGGACCCCACAGGTGCAACTGGTAGCAGCACAGGGCTCCATGCTGTTACAGCAACTCTGCCCCAAATAAGCAGTTTGTTTTTACCCACATGTTCCCAAACCTCCAGGTAAAGGCAATCTCACTGATCTTCAACAAACTATTTCTCCTCTTTTAAAACTCCTTCAAAATGAACTCCTGCTTCTTCTCAACTGCAACAAGGCTTCAAACATAAAACCAAGAGCTGACAAACAGAGCACTGCCTGCAGACTGCCATGCTCTGCGACGTTTCCCTCCCAAAGCCACAACCATTCACATTCCAAGTTCTGTCCTGAGTACTTTCAGAAACACTCCTCCTATTTTCTTAAAAACCATAAAAGCTCTCCGCAGGTCCAGAAGCAGCGTTTGACATCTCATTCCTCACGCAGCCTCTGCCTCCCGCCCGTCCCCAACGGAGCGCCGGCCCCGATTCTACGGGCGAGCAGCGAGAGGCCTCCGGATAGCTCACGCTTAAATCGCCGGTCGTGGCCGCCGAGCCGCGCGGAGACGGCGGCCACGGGTGACCCGGCCGGAGAGATGAAGGCCCATTTCGGGCCGCCCCTCCGAGTCCTCCGACCGGCGGCCCCGCGGCCTGCGACGGCGCCCAGTCACGGCCCTGACTCAGCGAAACCCCGGCGAACTGCACGGCCCCGCGCCGCTCCCTCACCGGCCGAGGTGATCATAGTGCCGCCCGCCCGGCCCGCGGAGGGAGGTGGCGCCCGCTCCGCTGCGCTCCGCTCCGGCTCAGCCGCACCGCTGCTGCCGCTGGAATCCCCTCCGCGCCTCTGCCGCTCCGCCGCCACCCGGCCCGGAAGTGCCGCATAGGCCCCCTTCCGGCAGGGCCTCTCAGCTGCCGGGCAAAGGTGGCCGCGGCGATCGCCTGCTCGAAAAGCCGTGGGGAATCAGGCGGAAGTCGGGCAGCCCTTCCCGCCCGGCCGCAGTGGCGGGCTGTACGCTTTACGCACGTTGAAGGCGCGTGGTGGCAGCGGCGTTACCCCGCACTGCACGTGGCGTTTAGCTCAATTAAACCACGCACCGCCTTATTTTAAGGACAACCCTATGGCAAACTGAAAATACAAACAAAACAAAACAAAAAAAGAAACAAGTTCCAGTTGAGAAATTGAGTGTGTTTATTGATTACAGCCAGCACTTGGAATAACAGTGCCCTTCAATTAGGAAATCATCGAGGTGCGCAGAACGCAGCGCAGCACTTCGGCGTGGGGAAAGGATGGAGGTCAGAGTGCTGGGCTAACACAGGGCTAATGCAGGGCCGTGCTCCATGGCCTGCAGGAAAGCACTTCTGCTCCCAAAGGGCAGAACAGCACTGTCAGAAGGTAGTTTTTCACAGTAAGGCACTGGCACAGGTTGCACAGAGGTGGTGGTGCCCCGTCCTTGCAGACAGCTGAGGTCAGGCTGGATGGGGCTCTGAGCACTGATGGAGCTGTTGGTGTCCCTGTTCAGTGCAGGGAGTTGGGCCAGAAGGCCTTTAAGGGACACTTTTGACTCAGTTCTATGACTGTAGGATGCACTGCTGCGATCCAGTGTGGAGCGGGGCTGCAGGACGGGCCGGAGTTTTTGCCTGAGCTGAGGGGAGCTGAGGACGGCCAGGCACAGACAAAACCCAGCCGTTTGTGCTAAAAATAAAATGAAACCCGCTTTACGTTGCATTAAAATAAAAGTTTAAAGAGGTATTTGAGCATTACATCATATCACCCATAAAGCAACCCTGCAGGAGGTTGGAACTTTGCTGTCTATTCCAAACCAAGCCTGTGACTTTGTTCTGTGACTCTATGATTCCATGCTGCCCCACAGGCCACAGGCAGCCCTTTGGAACTGCTTAAATAGGTGATGTTTAAACACTTCTATCAAGTGGCTGCCAGCACAGCTGTGGAGATGTCCCAGGTACGACAGACCTGTGCCGTACCCCATCTCACCCCAAGCACACCGCAGTCCTGTCTGCCTCCCTCCAGCACGGGCAGTGTGTCAGTCAGTCTGCGAGCTCCACGATGGGACAGACGGACACATCCTGCTCTCAGAACCACCCTCTGCTCCAGATGCCAGGAATATCTTTTGTGTTATATTTGCTGTCCAGAGCTGTATTTCTTCATGTTATTCACATGTTTCCAAGCTTTTCAACTGGCTGGTAGATACGAGACTTCATACTTAGTCCCGCTGCAATCTCCATGCCACTGCATTAATTGTCTTTTTTTTTTTTTTTCCTAGATCAAAGAGAGGTCAGCAGCTTCAGAATAAAGAATAAAGCAGAAAAATAAGGCAGAAGAATCCATTTGCCTGGGAGGCCATCTCTAGCAATTTGAGTGGGGAGCTTTGTTCGTTTGCCTTTGTTTGGGCAGATGGAAGCTAAAGTCCCCACGTCACCTTGCCCAGGATGGAGGATACACTCCTAAAGGGCTCCTCCAAAGCCCAGTGTCCACCAGCACAGCCCCATAGGCAGGGGGTGGCTTTGTCATGGAGCTCAGAGGCTGTTGGCAGCCACAGAAGACCTTGGTGAAATCTGTGGGCTCTCTGAGGGTGAGTGGGCACAGCTGCTCCTTCTACAGCTCCACACCAGCCAGGCAGAACCGGGACAGGGATCACATCAGGTGCCCACAGCTTTAGGTGCCCACACCTCCAGCAGCATCTTCATAGTTTCCATTGGGAGACAGACTGGTCAGAGCCACCTCTTGGGGGTCCTGCAAGTTGTCTGCAAAGAGCAGAGAGAGGTCAGGGGACAGTGGAGTGGGAAACCCTTCCTCATGTAAACTGCAGCTTAAAGCGCTACAGACATAAAGCATGGAGACGAAGTGAATGGTAGATACCACCTAAGCACAGGTGATTTTTTTTGTAATGGATTCTCCTTTTGCTTTACAAACTCAACATCCCCTTAAAATGCAGCAAAAGAGCAGGGGCCCCACAGAGTCCTGTGGTTTCAGCAGCCTCCAAATGAGCTGCACAGGTCTGAGGCTTCACTGCCTGCTTTGAACTGGAGCCTGAAGCTGACTGCCCTCCCTCTTGTCAGTGGTTTAGGAATGCGCTTCATGCAGAATGCAGCATGTAGGATTGGGGTGATGCTTCCAACTCACTGTGTGGATGCACAGTTGTGTCACTGCCCAGCAGTGCTCCCAGGCACTGGGCCCAGCATGCTTTTATTTAGGCGAACACTGTCTGTCTTCGGGTTCTGGCCAAACCTGGGCCAGGAAGTGGTGTCTGGAGCAGGAAACAGTGTCAGGAGGCCACCAACAAGAGGTGTGGGCATATGGACAGCCAAGGAGTCGGTGAGGAGCCTCCAGCAATCAGCATGTGTGCAAGGCAGCTGGGCATACCTTCATGGACATTGTTGGCAGCTTTTGACACGTGGCCTTTTCTCTGGCTCCTCCGGCTCCAGGAGATGCACTGCAGGAGGGCAGGCATCCTCCACCTTTCCCTCTCTTTCCCCTCCTCTGGATAAAGCACAGAAGCATTCAGAACATCAGAGGCACTGCTCCCCTGGCTCCCACCAGCCTAACTCCCACCAGCCCAACTCCAACAGCTAAACCCACCACCCTGGGAAAGCATGGAACAGCTCCTGCAAACCCTCATAGTGACCTGAAAGCTCCCCATTGCCCTGGAAATTCATCTAAAGGACAACAGAGGTAGCAGCAAGTTATTGCAAACTTTCATGCTGCTATAGCAAAACACTGCAGCAGCTTATTTTATAGTCTGCAACGGCTCAGCATCCCCATCTAAATGCCACTTGGCCTTTCACCTCCTAGGAGATCTTGTCTCCCAGTGGCAAATGATAAACCACTTCAGCGTCCTTCGTCTTATTGCAACACCAAAGGGCTCACAGTAGCAGCATTTCCTGCTGTCTGACAGCCCCAGACTTCCAGCCACCAACACATCCCCTGATTTCAGTCCTTGAGGACGCAGTGGGGAGCAGCCTGGCACAAATCCTTTGCAAAGGCCAGAAGGGAAACATGACAAGCTCAGCCCCAGCTAAGGGTTGTTTTTTGGTAACATTCCTCAAACCTGCTTTGCAAGCTGCTCCAAACCCCAGGCCCATCTCGCACGCATTCCTCCTGCACGTTCCACTAAAAATCTTATTCTCCTTGGGAAGAGCCATGGGATGAAGGAGCCTGGGCTCCAGAGAAGCTCATGCTGTCCTATGGGCTGGCACTGCCAGAGAGATCCCCAGCTCTTAGGTGGGCACAGAAGGGTCACATAGGCATTTTGGAGCACACGGCTCACAGGGGCGTGGAAAGAAGCTGATCTTGCATCAGGTTGAACCCTGAAGCTGAGGAGCATCCTCATTACCAATACAGTTCATGGGACGCTTCTATGACTCAGAGCACCAGCAGAGTCCTGGTGAGCAATGCTGAGTCCTCCTACCCACAGTGCTTGTAAAGCCAATGGGCTGCCTGCACAGCACCGCTCTGGCTTTCTGCTCCTCTTTCTCCACTGCACTCCACACCCACACCGGCGTGAAAGATAAATCCACAGATAATCCCAAAGATTCATGCACTGAGGCAAATGCCAGCAAATCACAAAGGTGGGGAAAAAAAAGTGTGCACTCAGGGATGCTTCCCTGCTCCTGCAGCTGCTGTGCCCAGAACTGGCGGACACTACTAGAAGAAATTCTTGCAGGAATTATGTGAGGAAAGCGAAAGGCTGCAGGAAGGAAGCTGGAAAGAAGACCATGCATGCATTGGCACAAAGAGTGGGTAGAATGCAGCCTCATACCCTTGCAGGAAAATGCAATGGGTCCTGGTGGTCTCAAAGCCCTTGAAGGCTCAGATCCAAGATTCTGGATTGAGCCAATGGGAAGAAGCACCTGATTCTTGGGGCTGCATCCTGTGCTTGCAGGTAAACACCACTCACCCTTCTCTGTGCATCAAATGCTGTTCCTCAGGCTCTCACCCTGCCATCCTTATGCTGCTCACCTAGCTGCCAACAGCTTGTGGTTTTAGAACCAAGTGCTCACTTGTTATTGTTCTGACTTGCGTGAAGCCAATGCCAGCATCTTCCTCCTGCAGAACCTGCCTGCCCTCTGCGGCCAGGGCTGCACCCCAAGCCCCAGAATGCCCATCCATCAGCACCTGAATGTGCATCCTAAGCACCACGCCACAGCCGTTGCCTGCCACATCCCTGCTTCCCAACCCACAGCCCATCCTCCCCAGGAGGAGACCCACGGGGAAGGGGCAGAGCCTGTTGGGAAGGCTCAGATCCCACTGCATGAAACGGATCCCACTGGGGACAGCAGGAAGTCCCTGGGGAGGGGCAGATCTCCCTGGCAAATCCTGCAGAAGTGAGGTAGCGGGCCGGATCAGGGAGATCAATGCGTGCCCCATTCGTGCCACCCTCCATCCCTCCCCCGTCCGATTTCCCCAAACCCTCGGTACCTGCGGGGTGCTGCAGGGCGGCCCGCAGAGCTCGGCAGGCGGCGGTGCGGCATTCCCGCAGCGCTGCGGGACTCCCGGGGCTGTAACGCGCCGCCTGCACGGTGCCCGCCGCCGGGAAGTGCCGCCGCAGCGTCGCGTCCAGCACCGCCGCGTCCTCCCCGTCCCCACCGGGCAGAAGAACGCCGACGACGGCGGGCGGCGGCCCCCGAGGCAAACGGCCCCGCACGTCCCGCACCACCTCCCGCAGCCGCGCACGGCTCCCGCGGCCCCGCGCCGTTCCTCCGCGGCACAGCACCAGCAGCAGCCGGGCCCCCAGCTCCCGCCGCCGGCATCGGGACCGGGATGGGCATCCCGGCTCCACCCCCTGCCCCGGAGGAGCCTCGTCGCCCAGCAGCTCCCGGGCGAACGACGCCAACGTGGCCGCCGCCGGAGCGCCGTCCGCCACCACCTCGGCCACCAGCAGCACCGCCCGCCGCCCGCCCGCCCGCTCCACCAACGCCCGCAGCTCCCGCAGCTCCGCCGCCTCCATCCCCCGCTGCCGCCGCCGCCGCGTTCCCTGAGCGCAGCTCCGCACCGCCCCCGGCACCGCCCCCACCGGCCCCGGTTCCCGCCCCGAGCCCAGAGCATCTCCCGGTTCCGGTACCGGTGGACTCGGGCTTTGCCCGGCCCTGGCACGGCTGTCAGGTGAAGAGGGAAGTCCCAGCAGCAATGGTAAACGTTTACTGTGCTACGCACGACATTCCCCATACATTTAATGTCTTGTTGCAAAGAATACGGGAGGATGTGAACAGCTGAAAGGTGCCGACAGCAGCACTGCTCTTGCAGACATCCTCTAGGGGACAACATAGATGTATTGGAGTTGAAAGGGCCTCTTAAAGGCCACCTGGTCCAACTCCCTGCAATGAACAGGGACACCTACAGTTCCATCAGGTGCTCAGAGCCCCATCCAGCCTGACCATGGGTATCAGGAAGGGCAGCCTGGGAAGGTCACTGTGTGCCAATAGCTTTAAGCCAGGAGAATGTGTGTCCCAGTTACAACAGGCTCAGCAAACACATCCCCACACCGGCACTGTGGGGTCAGACAGTCAGGGCGGGGGTTTCAGACAGCCTCTCTGGCTCTTAATAAAAGGACCTTACTCATTGACTAGTGCTGGTAATCAAGTCAGAGGAGATAAACAAGGTTAGGGTCCTCTTCCAAAGATCAGGGTCTGTTGGCACAGGAGCCCACGCTCCTGTACAGCTGTAACCCCAAGAGCAGCTGTCTGCACACCAGGGCTCCAGCCTGACACCAGCCAGCTGCGGCCTTAAGGTCAGCCAGATTCTGCGTTTACAGGAATCTTGCTCAGTGAGGGGGCTTTTCTGCATCCCACGCCCAGAACGAGGTCTGCTTCCCGTTTCTCTGATGTTTAAACTGCTGGTAAGCTCATCCAAAAACTAATATTTGGGAATGGATGGAGCTGTTTATCACGGCCACTGCAGTTGTATTGTTAATTTTGGGTACACACATACTGCTGCCAGCAAGGGCTGCTTGGAGAGGTGAACATCACCCACAATACCCAAACAACCTCGTTTACACTTCCTTACTCATTAACAGAGGAGGGACCTAAGAGCAAACACACTTTTATCTTCCTCTGTGTTGCTTAAAGAGATACAGCACAGCGAGGCAGAGGCAGCGTCAGCTCAGCAGTGTGTGCAGTGCCCACGGAGTGATGTTGGAGTGCAGCAGGCACCTGAATGCAGACCTGGATGTACAGACAGGTCCTGCTGTTCCGCCCTTTGCCTTCACACTGCAACCCGATGATGTGCTGGCAGCAAATCAACAGCTTGCTCTAAATGAGGGCAATTGTACTTCTTGCATGTGCCCGTGCCCCGCTAAGAGCAAAGATCTGTTCATTTTGGACTGCAAAAAGAGGAAGACATGGTGCTTGGTACAGAGACACAGTGCTGTGAGCTCTGAGCAAGACTAAAAACCCATGGGATCCGGCCCCTTAGGAGATGATTCACCGTGATTCACCTCTCATCTAAAGTGAGAGGACACGAGAAAGGACTTTTGTACCAATTTTTGACAGTCCTCAGTGCAGCTCTTCAAACTCTTCCTCTCGGTTCTCCAAGCCCACCTCCCCTTACTGCAATGGAAAGCCACGGAACCTGTGAGAGATGTCAGACAGTGCCTGCACGGCTGCCTGGGAGCCTCAGAGAGCCTGCAGTTGGGCAGCTGGCAGGGTGCCTTCCTGGCACACAAGGTGCGCTCGCACTTTGTCCTGGCACGTAGGCACGATGCACCACATCACCACGGAAAGAATCCACACTCAAAATTTCCCCTGGAGGATCCTTTCCCTCAGGGAAAATCCCTGCAAATCCCCCCTGCTCTGCATGAGTTTGTATGGCACCTGGTGCTCGGAGCTATACAGCTCAGAGATGCACACAGAGAAATCAAATAAAGACAAGGCTTTAATAATTCTCTCCATAACAGATAAGATTTTAGGTGGATACAAGATCTGGGAAAAAAAAAAAAAAAAAAAGGTTATCCTTATGAAGCCCTAACAGGAAAAAAAAACCCAGCTAACCACAGTGCCTTGCCCTGCCCAGAAAGAGAGGGCGAGAAGTGAGCTCAGCTTTTATTGGGCTCACTGCTGATAGAGACCAAAACCATCCACCGCTCCCACAGTGCCCCCCACCCAAGACCCCCCATTCCTGATGGACTCTGGTGTGAGCCTATCCCCAGCCCTTCCAGCAAGGCAGGTGGGAAAGTCTGCACACATCCAACTGCTCAGACAGCTTGTCCTTGACCCTTTGTCTACTCTGGCACGCAGGAGTAGCTTGGGAAAGACCAACGTGCTGATGGCAAACAGCACCACGGCAGGAGAGGGACCTTTATCTTGTTTGCAGCCTTTGGGCCAGCAAGTCAGAGCCAGAAGCAAACTTTGCTCACCCCCTGTCCTGTGGCTGCAGAGAACCCAGAGGAATGTCAGGAACTTTGTGCTGCTGGGAACCATGCAGCAAAGAAAGCAAGCAGAAACTCAGTGATTTCTGCTAGGGTGGATTGCCTGCCCAGCTGATGCTGGGAAGACCTCAGGGCTTTGGAGCAAGGCTGGCATCAAGCTGAGGGAGCAGCGTCCCCTTCTGGCAGCTGAGATATCGTGCACTGCATCACTCTTGTGCAGGACTGGCAGACAAGCAAAGCACCACGAAGGAAATATTCTACAGAGAGACACCTGGGTGAACGGCATTAAACCCAACCTGCAAATCCTGCTGTCTCCAGGAATTCGTTTGCAACTCATCTGTGATACCTCACGTGGCACAAGCTCAGGCTGAGGACAGCGACCCACTGCTGGGCGCTGATTTGAGCTGGACAAGCAGAACTGGGATTCGGTGAGCTGACATCTAGGGGAGGAAACACAGGATAGGAGCACAGCAGGAACCACGCTGGTAACAGCCCTTCCCTACAGCTCACCCAAAAGAATTACTGCTTCTCACTGAGAAGAACACAAGGCTGGTGGTACAGCTATTAGCAGTCATGGGAAGCCCCAGCGATGGAGTTGGGGTGGAGGTTCTCACACTGAGCAGCATCCCCACAGCCATGTGTTTTGGGGCAGTGAGAGCCACCACAGTCATGCTTGGAAGTTAACAGCACATGGGCTCTGACTCGCATCTTCCATTCCCAGACCAGGACTCAATCCCTCATTTTAAATTCCAGCTTGTCTTCCCTCCTGCATCTGAACCTGGTCACTGAGTACCACTAAGCATCGCACAGGTCAGATATCAGGAAAAACTCTGAAAGAGCAGTGGTGTGCTGGCACAGGCTGCTCAAGATGGTGGTCACCATCCCTGGAGGTGTTCAAGAGCCATGGAGATGAGGCAATGAGGAATGTGATTAACGGGTAATATTGGTGGTAGGAGGATGGTTGGATTAGATGATCTTAGAGGTGTTTTCCAAACTTATGTTGGCCCTTCGTGCTTCTCAGACCCTCCACACTCCTGCCCAAGCTCATGGTTCTGTTCCCAGAAAGCCCATCCTTGTCCCTTGCCCCTGTTTAGCTATGTCCCAGGATACCTTCTTGGCAATTAAAGACTTCTCTTAGTGCTCTACATGCAGCTCTCTTGACCTCCATGATGCTATCGGGCTGGTCTGCCTTGTAGACCGCTGCCTCCACCACGAGCTGCTGGAAAGCGCCATCCAACAGACACTGCATCCTCCTGAGTGCTTCCACGGCCCGGGACAGCTCCTCCTGGGAGCCTGAATGGATCACCACCAGCACCAGCGCAGCTGGCACGCATGGGAACAAGTTCCTTATGTTAAAGAGGGTCTCATCCAGATAATCCCACTGCATCAGCTGCTTCAAAGTGGTGGCTTGCCAAACCATAAAAACCAGGTGCGGTTGAACGTCTTCCTCCTCCTCTTTTTCCTCCGTCTGCTGCAGTTCAGTCCTCCCATCACCTACACTGAACAGGTCCTGAGCAAAATCCATCAGCACTGAGGGGGCTGTCATGTGGACGTCCTTCATCTCCATCACCAGCAGCTCCCCGTTCTTCACCCCCAGCATGTTCAGTAGGTTAAGGAACTCACAGTTGGTTTGGTCTGTAAGGGAGCAGCTGGTGGGCTCCTCTGATCCCATAGCTTCTTCCTGTGCAATTATTTTCTGCTGCACTGCTGAGGAAAGGAGTGAAAGGGGTTTTCACTCAGGAGCTGTAGCAAAGGTACTTGCAGTAGAGGCCTTCCAACAGGCTACGCCTGTTTCTTTCAGTTGTGTGCAAACACAATTTGGTGAGGAACAAACAAATGCTATAGAAAATAATGATGTGTATTCCACCTCACACTTCTTTGAATCTCACAACTCCTCGGTGCTTGTAAAAATAAAGCCCTGCTTGACTCAAGTACCCTGCAAACTGCCCACTGCTTATCCATGTAAATGCTGCAGCTTTTCACTCTTAAGTGCCCTCTTGCTGTTGAAGGAGGCAAATTCAGTTGTTTTAGCTAGGAAATAATTTGTACACCAGGCGTCAGTAGCCAGGTCCAAACCACTATTGATTTTCACTTAAAAAAGGTGTTTATCCAATAATGTACTCTAACTAAGTCAGAACACAGCTGTTCCACCTCCTTCAGAAGAAAAGGATCAGTCCTGAATGAAACACGAGCCCACCACAGGAGAGAACTGCAGGAACACAGGAGAACAAAGGCCCAGCTCAGGTGTCCCAGCCCAGGCACAGGATCTCACATGGGGAATGAAGACATCAGCATACCTGAGTGAAGGTGAGGGCAACCACTTCCCTGCCTCAGCAACGACCACCCACTCAGGGTACTGATGACTCCTTTGAGGAGTGAACTAAGACTATGACATCAGCAGCAGCCATGCCAACCTGCAGCTGTCTGAAGCTTCCCTTAAAGTCATACGGTATTTTTTATGCACTAAGAAACTCGCACTTGAAGAATCCTTAAGTCCACTTTCATTGCCTTTTTGTTCAACAAACCTCATGGAGTTCATTAAAGTAACAGCATCTCAGTGTATGAAATCTTCCCATCCCAACACTACTGTGGTAGGGATGGCAAGAAAACCAGCAAGTATTAACACACACACAGAGAAACTGCATGACAATGTCAGACAGCTGTCCCAACAGCATTCATTGCAAAGTGATGTTTCAAGAGAAACACCAATATAAGCTTCCCTTTATTGAGGAAATATTTCATTTTCTATAGAAACTCTGGGTGAACAGTTTACAAAGGTTGTAAACATTCAGATGCTATGTTGGAGGCAATGACTGGTCAGGATAAAGGTTGTCAGTTATTCACCTTTTCAAAGGTAACCTGCTCAACAGATGCTTTTAACAAGTACTGGTCAAATCTCCAGCTCAGGAGCCACTTCAGAGTCACTACTACATCACTGTGCTGTGTGTTGTGGTGTTATGCCACTGAAAAATAAGATCTTTCAATATAGGTGGAGGGGATTAAAAACAGGAACATACGAAAATGGAACACATTCTGTATTTTATTTCCAATAAAAATTTAGATCCTGGATGGATACAGCATCTGAAAAGCACAAGAACGGAATCACATTAGAATTCCTGTTACTGGACTGTACAATTTAACAAGTTTTGTAGTTATAATTTGAATCATGGATCTCTTCCATTACTTTAACAGCGACTTCCATTTATGCAGAAAAGGTACAGAAAGCCTAACAAGCGACTTGAAGAAGCATCTGATGGCATACAAGTTCCCACCCAGCAGTCAGCTCTCCTGCCCAAAGAGCCTTCCCATGCCTACTTTAGGACTTTGCCATGCACCTCACGCAATCATCTGGGAAGTAAGAGGGAAAGTTGATGCCGCAGCCCCTTTGCCAGTAGGTAGGAAGCGGGGCAGAGTACAAAAAGCAGACATGCAAGATGAGATTAAAACGCACCCCAAGGCTGACAAGGAACCCCTCGTTCCCAAAGCTACTCACCACTCGGATCCTGTGTCCAATGGCCTTGGCAGGGAGGTTGGAGCGGAACTTGGCACGGACCATGCCGCTGTTGCCATGGGCGCGGGTTACCTTCCCCCAGATCACCCGTGTCCTGTTGGGTTTGCCACCGGGGGTTACGGTGTTGCTGAGGAAACAGAAACACGTAAAACTTACTCAAGTCTCATTCCAAAGGAAATGCATTACCTTTATCTGTAAGATTTCTCCAGACACACCACAGGCATGGAGACAGGCAGCAGCTACCTTACAAGAAATGGAATGACTGTGGTGATGCTAAAAGCCTGATCGATTTTAGTTAAGGCAATTTCACTTCCATGTCTGACCTCTTAACAACTACACTCAAAGAAAAATTAAGCAGAAGGCAACAAACAACTATTTTTAATGCCTCTACCACTGCTAGCACAGCAGAAGCAACAGAGCTGTGACACAAAAGAGCTGGTATACAACCTTCTTTTTGCCTGACAAAATATTCTGCCACTAAAGATCCCAAAAACTCAGTACTCATCTCAAATTCATCTCACTTCAATTTGCTCTATCAACCTGCCTTCAGTTTTCACCAGCCTCAAGCAAAGCTTCTTTTTCATCCCATTTGCTCCTTCAACGTAATCATTCACTGTTACAAATTACACTTCACATTAATTCTTGATCTGAACGAAGGACAAAAACACCATCCAGTTCAAAGCTAACAAAGAACTTTAAAACTAAGACAAGCTAAGGAAGTTGTTCTATGTGACACTGCATTTTATTGGTAAGCTGAGCTGAATTCTTTTCTTTATTCTATCAAAAGATACATAAATCGTTTGCTCACATCTCAGCATTTGCTAAAGCTGATGTAAGAGGCTGACTTACTTTTTAGCTTTGTATACATAGGCACATCTCTTGCCTAAGTAGAACTCTGTCTCCTGGCGGGCATAAACACCTTCAATTTTCAGCAGGGCAGTGTGCTCCCGCTGGTTTCGGAGGCCACGTTTGTAGCCAGCAAAAGTGGCCTTGCACCACAACCTAAAGACATGGAAAACACACAAATTAACTCAGTTCAAACAATCAACTTTAGATGGAAGGGACATCAAAGCCCACCCAGCCCACCCCGTGCCATGGGCTGGCTGTCCCCACCAGCTCAGGCTGCTCAGGGCCCATCCAACCTCAGGCACCTGCAGGGATGGGAACCCACGGCTCTGGTCAGCACTGCCAGGGCCTCACTGCTTTCCGAGTAAAGAATTTACTAATAACATCTAACAGAAATCTCCCTTCCTTCAGTTTAAAACTTCCCCCCTTGTCCTATCGCTATTAGGCCACGTAAAAAGTCAGTCAGTCCCCACTCCTGCTTATAAGCTCCCTTCAGGGACGGACCACTACAGCCAGTTGAAGTCAGGGGTTTCAAAGAGGGCAACGCAAACGTAGTGATGTACCAGATATACAGAGTGCCCAGCGGGCAGCGCAGTGCTGGGAAATGAGAGCAGCCACAGCCATCTGCTCGCCGCCTGCAGCATCACCGCAACGCTGCAGTCTAGCCGTGCCAAGGCGCACGGCAGGCACTCACCTCCCGCTCATGGCGTCCTCCTGCAGCGCAGTCCCGGCAGGCCTACAAACGACACACAGAACCGTGACCGCCCCGACCGGCCACTCCGTCGCACCCGCGGGCCGCCCGCAGCCCGGCGCCGAGCCCTGAAGTACCGCCGGCTCCCGCGGGGCGGCTCCGCCTCCTCACAGCACGGCACCCCCGCTTCCCTCCATCCGCCGTACATCGGCGCCATCCCGCCCGCTCCCCGAACGCCACACCGCGAACCGCAACGCCCAGGTCGCCCCGCCTCCGCCGGGAGCCCCGTTGCCGTCGCAACCCCCCCCGGCAGCACCCCGCACCGCCGCAGAGCCCCGCTCACCACCACGGCGCCCGGCCAAGATGGCGGCGAAAGAAGGAGGCGGAGCGCTGCCCGCCGGGATGTCGCCTCCAAGGCCCCCGGCTGCGGGCTGCCCGCTGCAGCGCCCGAGCGCAAAAACTACGAGCTAGCCAGGCAGTGTGCGAGCCCCTAACGCGCCGTCCTTCGCCGTCCCTCGCTCTGTCCCCACGTCCCTTTCCTGCTTCGGGCGGCGTTTCGGGGATAGGTCTCGGCACCCGCTCCGTGCAGGCACTTACTGAGGCAGCCCCGCGAGGCCCCCGGGCACAGCGGTCGCCATGGAGACGGGGTCGCGGGGAGCGCCGCGGCGGTGCTAGGGGCGGCGGGGGTGAGGAGGTAAGGAACAGCCAGGCCCGGCAGGGCCAGGAGAATATTCTCTAATAACTGAGTAACTGTCACAGCAGCGGAGGTGTCTCAGCCGATCAATAAACGCTCCCTAAAGCTTTGCTCCAACAGCAGGGCTAGGCAGGGTTTTGTAAGGCTCCGAATACTGGCCTGTTTTTTTATAAAAGGGAAGATAGCTTTGGTTCACGGCCCAGCTGTTGCCTCTGTGGCAATTCAGAATGTCTTTTCGCCACTACATCTGTGAAACTGAGCTGGAAGAGATGCAACATCCTCAGCTTTGGATTCGCTCACTGGAATGGATGGGTATAGCCTTGAAGAAGTGAGAGGAATGCTGTCACAGAATGCTGCCCGTGGAGCCATCGGAGTTCAGGCAGCAGGATGGGAGAAGTGTGTGTCCAGGAACCCCACACAGCAGAGGGAGCTGCAATCCTCAGAGGGACAGCAGGCCACACCTCTCCTGGTTGGTCTCAACCATATTTCTTCATCTGTTTTTCTTTCCCCTTAAATCAGCAGGGAAAGAATGTCAGCCCAAGATCTTGGGGGAATCGGAGTCCCTCATATATACTTCCTTTTTATTACTAGAGCTTAGTGAAGGAGTTCAGCGAAGCACCATCAGTAAGGCCAATGCCAGTGGCTGGATCGAGAGTGTGAGACCTCACTCACTGCTTGTCACGTTCCTAAGTGCCCCAGGCAGTGTTTTCCTTCTCACTTCCAAGTCATCATAAGACCAGGCAGGGCGAGCTGCTTTGGCACTGGCATCTGCTGAGTGAATCCATGGCTATAACAGGAGATACACGGGAGGTGCAAACCAGCAGGCTTTCGAGAAGCATTCCAGCTGCGAGTTGTCCTAACAGACATTAATATCTTGAGTTAATTCTCTCCTGGACAGAAGTTATTTGTGAAATAGAGGAGAAGCTATTGCATCCTCCTTTGTTTCCAAATAAGTCACTTTTTCCAATGAGAGCCGTGTTATTTTTTCTTTGAAGAATGCTGTCGTCATCATCTGTCAGAGCTCTCACAACAAATCTTTTTTTTTTTCCCACCATATTTTTAGCATTAGCCCTCTGCATGTACTAGGTTATTCTTGTGTTATTTAAACTCAGAATGTACATCGTGGATTTCTTAAAAAGATTTTAAAAAAGAATTTTATTAGTGCCTCTTAGCTAGAAAGATACATTTTCTGACCAAAATGCAAAAGCAGAACTTGCATCTTCACTCTGTCATTAATTCTAAGTCTGAAAAGAAAGAAGAACTGACACTTGTAGTTTGTTACACAGATTATGAGTGATTTACGTGGTATGCTTGCAGATTGGACTGTAATATTCTGCAGGCCTAGGATGTGTTTATGCAAGGGTTTTACAGATGGCACAAATGCAGTTGTAGGTAGAGCAGCCAAACGAGGCCACCTTGTCCTGCATTTCTTCAGCCTGCCCTCCCAGATCTGCTGCAGGAGGGACCAGAGCTTTGTTTTGTGAAAGCTAAACATTCCCTCTGTCCCTGAAGGCAGCCATTAGCAGAGCAGGGCTCCTCTTATAAACAGTGTATGAAAAGCTATAAACAAAGCTAGGGAAGTGTATAGAAGGCTGCAATCAAGGCTATTTCAGGTCTACCTTTAGTTTAAACTACTGTTACTAACACCATGCTGCTTTTCTCATGGGCACCTCTTGTCTCTGTTCCTCTTAGCAAGAGCACACGCACTAAAGAAATGGAGAAACTCAGTCGGCTGGAAGCTCTGCTGCTTACTGCTGTGCTGGAGAACTGTGCTGATCAGCTCGCAATCCTTGGCTACATCATGCCAGTTTCACATGAGGGCAAGACAGACACCAGCCATGTATGTGCCTCTTGCTCTTTAAGAAAATACCTCTCATTTTTCTTCTTGTCCTTTACGTCTTCTATTAGCTTTCTTTAAATAGCCACTCAGGTATTTTTTTCTCCATGACCCTTCGGGGGAAGAAGCAATAAAAGCACACAGATGATCAGTTTTAATATCTGTACTGCAGCAGCACTGAGAAGCGTTTGGCAAGGCTGTGCAAAGGACTCTGGTGACCTCAGATGAGGTTCCGAGGCTTAGTTTTAAAACCTCCATGGTTAGATGACAAGTAAAGGATTGAGGAAAAATAAACAATACATGTCTGAAGTCTTATATAAGTGCATTGCCACTTCTGAATTACTAACAAACAAGAACTATGACCCAAATCAGGGTCATTCTGATACTCCGTGAGTGCTGAGGCTCCTCTAGTCCCCACAGACAACACATGAAGAAGGATTTCCCTTCAAAATGTATTAGTAACTACTCGTTATTGACGTCTGTTATTAATTAGTTGATTTCTAATAGACACCACAACTAAGTGGTTTTGGGGAGAGGTATAAAGTACAGATCCGTGCTCAGGCAGGGGTTTATTGTTTTCTGTATGTATGGTGGCTGTTAAGAGTATGTGATAGACACAAGAAACAAGGTGGGATCGTCTTGGTGGGTAAACTGCTGTAAGTTCTGTTCTCATATATTTAAGTGATGAGCAGGGCTGTTTTCAAGTTGAAAAAGAGTTTGAAATTTGCTTAACTAAAAACGATGGGAAAAAAAAAAAAAAGTGTGACCTGGATGGAAATAAAACCTGAGCTCCAAGTTTTCAGACCGAATGCTATTCAGTGCCTGATGTATCAATTAAGAATGGAAGAGGAAAGTAAATCAATGAATCGGCATTCATCAGAATGCTTCAATCAGAAGCTGCTCTGAATTTAGGGCTGTGCGATAGAGGGCGCTCCTCTCCTTAGCACGGTGAGCCAGTCGCCTGTTTGCCGAGGGTGTTTCTCCCTCACAGATGTGGGTGTGAAAGCTCTGCTGTGCCAGCAGCAGCAACACAGAAAGCGCAGATCTCAACAAGGATGGGAGCTGTTCCCCTTCACACGATCTGAGGTTGACAGACCTCCTAAAGGAACACTTAGTTTTCCTCTTCAAACACAGAGGCTCATTTTTACTAAGTAATTTCTTAACACACAGTTTTCCCATAGAGTGCAATCCTCAGTAGTGTTCTTAAAGATGCAAATACAGATCAAGGAGGAAACAGTTTACAAAACAGAATGGTTCTGGGGAAGCTCCTTGCTAACTCTGGTGTTCTGCAATTCGCTACTTGTCCCTGTTCTCATTTACATTTACCTCTTGTCACTGCGTTGGTAGAAGACCTGTATTTGCAAAGCACCCTTCATGCTACTTGAGCTCTGTCAGTCCAACAGATCTGTGGCATTTTCATTGATTGACATTTCATATACTGACATATTCAAGTGCTGGCATTTTTTAGAGCCTTAGTCGTAGTGTTGCTTGTTCCTAAATCAGGGACTCTTGTAGGCTGCTTCATGCAGTGCATTCCCCAGAGGAAGCAGCCTTTCTGTCTGCTCGATTTGGGGCAAAAGACCAGCAAAAGATAAACAGCTGTGGACTGCACGGATGGCACCACATGCAATTTACAGTCTCCTTGCTCTCCTGTAGTTCTTTGGCAATTATTAGTGCTTAATTCTCTACTGTTTACAGATAATCCAGTTATAGCCTGTCTTGAGCTTTCCCAGACATTACAAACACCTATTACAGCATCCATAAAATCTACATGATATTAAAGCCATTTGTTTGCCTAGAATAGTTATTTCAGAAATACAGCCTTCACCATCAACCCATTTAAACCCCTTTTTCTTCCTCCTAAATTAACCATGTAATTTTCATAGGTCTCCGTATACTTTGCATGAGATTCATTTCATGTAAATTTCACCGTCCAAAAATTAAGCGCGGAGTCGCTCAGTCTCCTCCTGCACCCAGTGCTGAGTCACGCAGTGCAGGGGCTGCTTCCTCCCCCCCCGAGCTGCACGCTGCATTCAGGAGGATCAGCCTTTTGCAGTGCCCTGCACGCTGCCCCACTGACCACAGCAGCACCTCGGAACACGAACGGAGCCTTTCTCCATCAGGGCCTTCTTGGAATGACTGCTAGCATGCACTGTTCCCAGTCTGACCTCTTGTTTTCGCTCTGCCCTCTGTGCTGCGTTGGCACAAACATTGGTGTGGTTGTGCTGTGATCTGGACTGCTAAAAATATAATGATTTTTTCTTCTCTTGCTGGAAAATGTTTCCTGTCAGCGAGTTCTTTTTTCCATTTCACAAGCAGCCAGGGTGGGCAGTAGGCAGCTATGGGCTAGGATGAGGCTGGAAGCCTCTGCATTAGCTGGCTCTGGTGGTACTGCTATTAAGTACTCAGCGACGGGCTAAGATCAGCTCTTGTTGTAACAACTACACTGTAAGCAAAGGCCTTGGTGACAGGCAGGGCTAAGACAAGCCCAGATAGGGAAAAGGCTGAGGAGAAACAGACTAACAAGCTTCCTGTACATAAAAGCTGCTGCAAAGAAGGAAGGAAGGCTTTTTTTTCTGTTTCTACAGAGACTGGGACAAGAAATCAGGGGCTCAGCTGCTGAAGTTTCAGAAATAGCTTCCTTACAAGAGTGGCGCGCTGGTACTGACTGCAGGGCATACGTCTCCGTGGCCGGGGGGTCTTTAAGAATGTATCAGACAAATGTCTGAATCATCACCTCTTGGGGCAGGTGAGCTGACCTTCTGAGTCCTGTCACTTTTGGCCTTTTGATCCCATCAACTTCAGTAAGTCTAAATGGGGTGCTCAAATCTAACCTAGATGGAACGTTTCTGCTATTCAGTTCTTTGTAGAATCATCAACTGGTTGTAGTATAGGTGGATTTGTGTTTATTATTAATTCTTCTTCCTCCCACATAAAGCTGCAGAGGGTCTGTTCCTATTGCTCAACGTGCAAGCAGATTTCTCTTACTCTTTTTTAGATCAACAGCCAGAAAACGAAAGAAATCACAGACACCCAGAATGTGCTGGACATTAAGTATCAAGAGCTCAGCTCTGCAAGGCAGGGGAGGGGGGAAACTGTTACCTCCAAGTCTTGGAAAAGCACTGAATGCAAGCAGCAGCTGGCGAACTCTGAGAATCCAAAAAGAGCCCATCACATTTCCACAAGGGCCATGAAACCCAGTGCTCTGTCTGCAGATGATCTCAGAAAAATTCAGGCTGACAGGTGAGTGAAGCGTAAATGTGATGCCTGTGAGGGATGTTCACAGCTGTAAAGTTCTCACTCTATCTTTGCAAAGCAAAATACAGGCTTCCCACTCTCCCACTGCTGGTGTTTCCCAGTCATGATCTAGAACGACTATTTCTAAAGAGAGCACTGGGGTCTGGCCTCAGAGACCATTTGGTTCTGACTCCTGCTTGCATCTGGATGCCAAGTACTGACAATGAGCTTACTTTGTATGTGGCTGTGAAACATTACCCAATTAACAATGGCTGAGTAGAATTCATCCCAGGATGCAGTCAGGTGCAGGCAGTCAGGTTCCCTGGCAGACATGAACGCTCAAGGCTGGGTCTGAGAGTTGTTTCATGAACTCAGTTACTCTGTAGGGCACATGGAACCTCTGGCAGCTAGAACCATTCTCCTTTGTAGAACAATCAATGGCTATAAAAAATAAAACCAAAGTAAGTTTTGGGTTTTTCCCCAAATAATTTTCATTTTTGATCTAAATCAAGTGCCTTCACTGGCAGCAATACCAGCAGCCTTTGATTTAAAAGACAGACTGGGGAGCTGAGCATTCTGTAAGCATTTTTCTACATCCTGGCTTCTGTCCACTAATGTTTTAACAAAGAGTTTCAAGAAAATCCTGACACCAATGAGGAAAATGCAGCCAAAATAGCAATACCATATGCACCATGAAATTCAACAACTTGGGCAAGCCCACGTCTTTGTTAGGATTGCCTTAGGGCTGCACCAGGACGTTTTGGCACCCAGGTGTCCCTCCATAGACACATGTGTGTCCCCAGATCTCATCTTCCAAGATCCATCAAGCTGCCATTACTGCTGCAGCCTTTTTCCTGATGGCAGCACAAGCTGGCACGACATGGGTACCTCTGCACCTCTTCTCTATTTCCTGGAGTAACATTCAGACCATAATGTGAAGTTATAAACTTGGACCTTCTTCCAGATACACAGTTCTCTAGAGCTGGAAGCAGCAAGTGCCATGGGAGAGGCACACTTAGGTTTGCTAAGTCATAAGAACAGAAATGGATCTTGCATTTCCTTTTTTTTTTTTTTTTAAACATAATTGATAATAATTGATAAAGGTGCAGACACTGTGGTATCAGTGTACACCTACTAATTACTTTGTGTTCATTTTCTTTCTGGCAGGCAGCATGTGAGTGATGTAATTACAGCCACTGTGAAGAAGATGGAGGAATCAGGAACATTTGATAGCCTAATAGAAGCTAATGGGAGAGAGAAGGCAAAGAAAAGCAACTTGAATGACATCCTCATCAGGTCAGAGTTGTGTTCTGTACTTTTCTGATTAGTGGTTTGGAGCCAAAGCCCATTTTCCCTCATTATACTATATAAAAGGAAAACAAAAACAAATCCTACATCAAGATATGGAAAGGATTCTTTTTCAGCTTGAATTATCCTGAGCACTTCACAAATTGCATTTGCCCTTGGAGAGAGAAATAACTGCCTGTACTGATACTAATCTGACTGGAATTGTCTGAGCTTGGACTCCAGCGTCTGCATTAATGCAAACACTGCTCCATATCAATTAAAACATAATGTGATGTAGGACTTTTCTGACCTTCAACTCCTTGTCCCCAGAGGAAGCCAGAGTAGCAAATAATCTGTTCAAGCCAGGGTCAGCAACATACGGACTTCAGGTTACACGATGCCCAGGAGGATCTGCTTTGACCCAAATGCTAATGTGCTCCCTTTTTCCAGTGCAGGGCTAGCACAGATGGTGGCAGAGGCAATTGTCTTGTGAACACAAAAGCCACCTCTTCCAGCATCTAAAACCAAGGGATTTATTGTTTTTCCAAGGAAGGGTCAGAAAGCAAAAAATGAAAGCAGCAGTTGCTTGTGGAATCACTATTCAACACTAGAGTTAGAAAGGGGCATGCAACTTAACATCACTAAGGGAATAATAATTTTTATTCCATTCTATCAACCATATCTAAGCACTGTGTTATCTGTTTGCTATACATTCCTTTCATTGCATACACTTGATCTGTATTTAAATATACCATATACTTGTCTGGTTTTGTGTCAATACACCAGTCTGAAAGCAGTTTGCAATAAGGCTGGGACTCCTTATCAGGACCTTCTGTAGTAGAGTTACCCAGCTAAGTACTCCAAAAATGAAATGCATGTTTGACTGTAAAGGGGGGATAGGGTACAAAGCCTCAGGCAGCAATTCTTCTTACTGGCTTTAGATCAAACGATAAGCATAAAAGCTTGGGAAAGCCCTCAAAGGAAAGTGAAATAACGAGACCTACAACATTATTGCATCCTTTTTGGTTTAAACTGTTAAACACCCCTGTAGGTTTTGGCTCGGTCCTCAAGGTTTCTGGTTCACTTTCCCTTTCATTCCCATCCTCTCTGCTTAATCCATACGTCCCTTCTTTCAGGATTTACTTACCAAGAAGTTTCCAGGTTTGGTGAGATCTCTCTGACCTGAAGATGTACTGCTTTCAACACTGAAGTTCAGAACGAAGAGATGAATGCCTTTTCTATTCCTCAAACACTGGAAGCAGCTGCAAGCTTTTACGCTGCGCTGAAGCAGGGCAAGCTTTTCACTTCTTTTAGTTCAGCTCTAACAAACTCACTGAGTGAGCAGGTTAATTGGAGCAGTGTTCAGCTACGTGCAGCAACATATAAGGAGTCTGAAAATTCTCTATCTAGGTACACAGCTCTTGCTTTTCTTGATATATTCAAGTAACTGTATTCTCCCATTTTCCTTCAGGGAGGAAGAAGGAAAGAAAGAGATAAAGTCACTCCAGAAACAGCTGCAAGATGTCAAGAAAGAAACTGAAATAGAACTTCAGGTGAGATTACTTAACACTGGGCATCTTGCCAGGGGAAGTGTGTTAGCAAGCTTGCTCCTGCTGCCCAGGAACTAGCACTCAGATGAGAGGACACAGCACACGTAGCAATCCATCATTTAAGAATATAGAAGCAGAATAACTGCAACACTGATTTATAGCCTGACTATAGTTATTAATGAATTTAAGAATGCTGTTCAGTGGTATTCAAGCAGAAACTCAAAGTGCTTATAATTGTGAAAGGCTCTGATGAAGTCAGAACACCTCAGAAGCAGTGCTGTGCAAGAACACTGCAAAGCATGGACATGAGTGAGTGCTGCTAATCTGCAGCCAGGAGGAGATTAGCTGCAGACAGCAGGATCTAAGGTTCTGTCATACTTAATGGTGCAGACATGACACCTGGCACAGAAGAAAGACTGATGGTGAGGGATTAAGAAATGGTGTGTCAGAACAGGTGTGGGGACATGCCATTTTTCTACCTGCAGTTTTGTCAGGGAAAAGTATCAGAATTTTCTCCTATTTCCTAGGCTTCCACATACAACAAAATCCCAAACACACAAGCCCTATGCAAGGGCAGATCAATGTTACCATACACACACCCCATCAACTTTATCTGTGCGGACAGCTTCAGCCTTTCTTTCAGCACGTGAATTGTCTGTGCATGCACAGTAGATCAGGGGCATTCTGGACACATCAGACTTGCTGCACAAGTGCAGATCAATTAAATGGCATATTTAATTGATCACTGTGATGCTTACCAGACAGCTCAGACCCGATGGTCACGCATGCTTAAAGAGCAAAAGCACTCAGCTCGGTGAAGAAACGTGCAAGTTTAACCTGTTTCTGCTGAGGTGAGGAAAAAGAACACGTGATGAAAAACAAGCAAAAGAAAGGCAAGGTCAGAGCTATACAAGGCTTGAAAGAAAGAACAAGAATCTGACACTTGGTTCGTTGCAGAGGAAAAGGAAAGCAAGGGCATGTGAAGAAAGGCACCGTATCAGTAAGAATTTTGTCCTTGGACAGAAGAGTGGCCACCAAGCCAATAAACATTTGGCTGTACAGAGGAATTTCAAGCTGCTGACACGCTGCCGGAGTACAGTTTGTAGAAGATGAAGGTTTGATGTTGGCAGCCTGGATGCGTGTGTAGTGGAAGGTTTAATTGTAAATAAGTGGATGGTTCCAAAAACAGGAAGGATCTATCGACACTGGAAATGTGTACAGCTATCTACGTGCACCAGAAGTCCAGAGGAGACATTAAAACAGAACAGCAGAGAAGAAAGCAGGAATGTACAAGATTGGAAAACTAACTTACGTCAGTCCTCATCTGCCAGCAGAGATCCTGGAAATGCGTAACGTACACTGGGAAATGTAGCAGGATGAAAAGAGCACGAGGAATAAACTGTGGACGTCACAGAAAGGAGTCACTGAAAGATGTGGGAAGATAGCAAGTTAGGAGGAATACCAAGAGAGAGCAGTTGTGGAAACTGAAAGAGGAAGGAGGGATGAAGTGCTCTTTTTTTTGGTGTGCGCTGTTTTTCTCCCTACAGATTCGAACCCGTCCTGGCACTGCACAGTCAGCAGCACAGCTGGTGCTTGTCCTGCCCTGCACCTCTCCTAGCTCTAACAGTCATACAAATGTGTGTAGCTCCCACGCTGAGCACATGCTCCTCTCTGTGTCCTTTTAGTACCTTCTGCTAATTTGATTCTTGCTTTTTGCCTCATCAAATGGGATCTGCACCCATCTGGGATTTTGGTTTTATGTTTCCAGCTTAAAAGTATTTTCCTGGGCTTCCTTGTAGCTTCAGCTTTGATAACAAATCAAAGACAAGACTACTTTCAAGTAGTGCTTTCCTCCTGTGCCAAAAATAATGGTGTCTCACTTTGTCTCCCAAGGGAGAATAATTTCTATTTGCTTCATATGGGATTTTCCCCATAGGCAATTTTACAGACACTTGCAGGATTTGTCACCTCGCCAACTAATTAGGAGCAGAAATACAGCTTGCTGATTTTAGAGTATTTTGAACAATAATAACACATAGGCCTTTAGACAAAAGCCTATATGGTTGTCTCCAGTCCAGTGGCTGAGAACACAAAACCAAACAGATCTCCTCATGGAACCAGAAAAACGTGGTCTTTGCTTCACACGTGTTGCTTCTGTGTATTTTCAGCCTTGCTGTTTCTTAATGAGATGCTAATTAAAGCTGTATTAGCTGGCTCAGCTCATTTTTCTTTCTAATAGAACACAAATCAAACGCTACATGTTTTCACTTATTTTGTTTCCTTTTGGAAAACACTGTTGTCTCGAAAGCTGCTGCGATGAACAGTCTGATTTTAGATTCCCCCCTCTGTGTCACCTGGCTGCAGGAATTCTGCTTGCTGCTACTGCGTTTATTTTCTAACATGCAGAAAACCATGCAGGTTCCTTGGAGCAGTGATGACATTCTGTACAAACAAAATTGTTGGTGTTGGATAAGATAATGTTTAGGAGAAAAACTTAAGAGATGTTGCCTTTTAAATTCTTGCACTGCTATTCACTCAGACGCTTTTTGTGACCTGTAGGTTTTGTGGTCAACTTACAGCCATACACTGCTCTGTGTTTACACTGGGGAAATGTACCAGATGACTTCAGTGGAAAGCAGGAGGTCTGTGATGATCCTGGGGCCACGTCAGCCCCCACAGCAGCTCAGCAGGACGCAGAGCTGCTGCAATAGAGCCAAACCTGGAACCATTCGATGCCATCCAGTTCAATCCCTTGCAATGAAGATGAACATTACAAATCATCACAGTGGGTGACCTGTCAGCCCTGTCGTCCTTTCACCTGAAACATCTCTGGGGGGGTGCAGCACAGGGGTGTTCTGGCAGCTGGGACAGACGTGTCTGTAGGGCTGCATGCTGTGCTTTCAGGGGCTGCAAGTCCCGGCTGCAGCAGGTGTGTAGATCTAAGCGTATCTTCAGGCTTTGCAGGCTAAGGTTTTACAGCTGCCAGAGGAAAGCTCATCCACACTGGTCATGGAAGCAGGGAGGCAGGCAGCAAGACACAGTGCAGGCGCACCAGCTGCCAGCACATAGCTCCTGTTTGCTGATTTTGTAGCCAGCTGCATTTTAAGTGACTGCAAATACTCATTGCTGTGGAAGAACGGAGAGATCTAGGGGGTACTTGCAGTACATAAAAGTAAGTGAAAACACAAAATGTGCATACCTTCTCCAGCAAAGTATTGTTGCTTTTGCCACCAAACAACGTTTTTTGGTCAGAATTCATTGGTGCTGGCTAACAGCAGCAGACAGGCCTCTGAGCTGGTATCTGTGAGCTGAGAGATCTGAGAGAACAGCTTGTTTGCCTGCTAGCAGAGCAGACTGGCTCGTAACAACTATTTCCTGGGTTTTGATCTTGCCCTCTGCCAGTTTTGTGATAGTTCTGGACACATGATTTATGATTTTGCATAGCTGAAGTCATCCCAAATTAGCAGCCCAGAGGTTTACTGCATTAGCTGTGAAAGCACGCTGTGTCCTCATAGGGCCCTTTGCTGCCATAAACCAGAGATGAATAGATGTTAACTCTTTTTCCCAGTGCCTGCCCCTGAGGTTCAGGGCACAGCACAACCCACAGGTGGTTTCCCCGGGTCGGGGGCAGCAGCTGCATCTGCTATGTGCAACCTAACACCCAACACACCCCAGCACTGCAGCTCCAGGCCCATCAGCTGGGCTGCAGTAGCTCCCACATGCCTGCAGCCGACTCTCCCTCCAAGTGAACGCATTTCTGTAAACACCCACAGGGTTTTGCATTTCGCTTCCCGTCTGCTTTGCATTGTGTAATCAAGCCCCCAGACTCCTCACTTCTAACAAAGACATTTTGTAACACCAAATCCAAACCACAAACATGCCATGCAGCAAAGAAAACAGAGCAGACGGGTCCCCTTCCTGGCTGAGCCTGGGGCTCTGAAATCAAAAGTGGTTTTCCCTCCGCTTTATCGAAATAAGAAATAAAAAATGGTGTTCATGCTCTGCCCCACCTCTCTGAATTCTTTGTAGCCTACATCGAGCCCTCCTTTTCTGACCTGTTTCCAGACCCTTCACAGATAGCACTGCAGCACTGACTGCAGCAGCTGAGCCTCAGGGCCACAAAACACTGGTGTTTTCCTTTAGCATCCCCTTGATCTCTATGCCAGCCCTGCAATTCAGACACGCTTTCACCACAATACAGCGAGGCAGCCTCAAGATAAAGTGCTTTGGCCACCTCCCACGTCTGCTGAGTAGGAACACAACTGTTCCCAGCACCCACCAAATTTCATCAAGGAAAATAAAAGCCATTACCGGAAGCCTTAATGGGGCATGAACAGGTTGTGTCTGTAAGCTGTCTGCAGTCCTGTGATGATACGGCTGCAAAAAAAAGATCTGATCTGGGAAAGCTTCAAAATATTTTGAAGGTATGACTTTGAAAACCACCAAACAGCATCAGCCACGGCCTCTGATTTTCAGGAGCCCTATAAATACGCTTTACTGTTCCTAACTGTGTCCTACAAGGGGTGCAGAGGGAAGACTTTGCCTTTTAGCTGTTCCAAACACTTCTTATAAGGAAACCTTTCCAAATGAGTCATGCTGCAAAGGCTTTTAAACACAGCAGTACTGAGCTGGCTTCTTCCTGTGGTGTTTTTCTATGTTTACACTGTTAAGGAACGCAAGGATGCTTGAGAGACAAGATAGGTGGGCTTCAAACCACGTACATGCCAGCACCTTGGTATTTCATCTTCAGCTGCAAGGTTTGGCTGCTGAGCATCAAACCCATCACAGCATGGCAGGAAAGCAGAGAGAACGGCTGTAATGGAGCAACTGGGAGCCAGACCAGAGGCATTACAGTTGGTCTTACATAATTGCACAGGAGACTTTGATGACCTTTTTAACTAGCAGTGCAGTTCTACATTTTACAGGAGGTTCAACTAAGTTGCAGGCCTAGATTTAATGAACTTTTAACCGCCATTCAAAGAAATTGATTAAAAAGGAATAAACAAACTCACAGTCCCAAATTGGGCAAATGCACTTTGCTTCCTAAGCATGCACACAAAGCTGACAAATGGGGTGCACTCACCCAGAAGTCTTGTCTGAGGAGTTGCTGCTGGAGACAGAGCTGTTCCAGAAAAGCTCAGGTCCACACAAAACAAGGTGTGGGGAGAGGCTGGGAGCTCAGAGCCAGCTCTGCTTGGCAATCCTTGCTCTGACTGAATGCTCTTATAAAAAAATGGACACCATCTACTTGGTAAGATTTCAAGAAAGAACCACTGAAACATATGAGTGAGTTGAGATTTACATTTTTATCTGCTCCTAATGCTGTGTTTACACAGTTGCTGCAGAACTAGGGAAAAAAAAGCCAAAACAAAATAGCAAAGCCCAACAAATGCAAGGAACAAAGTATACTTGAGGAGACAAAACTTAGCACAGGTGAGGCTGAGGTATTACTCTCCTGTTACAGGCACTCACTCACTAATCCAAGGGTTTAGCAAAGCCTAACCTCAGTGGCTGAAATTAACTGGACTGTTCTCATGCATCTTTTGCTTATTGTCTCCTCTCCCAGAACCGAGACAAAGTGATTCTCTACCTCAAACATGAGCTTCAACAGATGGAAGCCAAAGCAGCCATGGAGGACCGGTACATGAAGAGAAGCACAGACCTCCAGGTGCACCAAATCCAGAAGAAGTGCAGCAATGCAGAGAACAGACTGAAGAAGGAAATTGAGGTAAACCGTTCCCCAGTGCCCTTACTGAAAAGCATCTCTACCTAGCAAGGAAAAAGTCAACTCAGCAGGTTGTGTGTAGGTGAGGACAGAAGGACTCAGCACTATGCTGGGAACAATCCTTGCTTAGCAAGATCTTCCTCTCCTAGGGTTCTGGCACTGCCTCTGCTTGTCTGCTGCCCCACTGTTCCCTCACGTCATCCTTTTTCTCTTAAACCACAAGCATCCTTGTCCCTTGGAATTACAGCTGAAGCACGGTGAGCTGCACAGGCAGCATTTCTTCAGATCTGTGGGAAGGGGATGGAGAATGAACCTTTTTATTGAAACAAACACCAACCAAAGAAATAGAAAAAAAACCTCACCAGAGCCACTGTCTGTCCTCTGCACACAGAGGCGGCTGTCCTGAGTGCTGCTCTCCTGGAGGAAAGCTTTATCAGAGGGTTTAGGTGATGCCAGGACGTTGTCTGCTCCTGGAACCATCACATGGATGCAATACTTTCTGCATCAGGTCCCAAACAGCAAACATGAGGCAAAGAACTTTATTTGGTTCCTTTAAAGGTGATTTCAAGCGAAATGGATTGCTCTAAAATATATTCTTTCCTATTCATTTTAATGCTAAAAATTCATGCTCCACTTGCATTTGAGAACTGCCCAGCAACAGGAGAACTGTAAGTGCCACAGCAGGAAGCAGGATTGTGAGGCCATTCCTCTTCCCTTGCATGATGTCAACTGTGAACACTTCATGCACAGTCATTTGCTGACAGTGCTGAGAGAAGCTGCCCGAGTCCTCCCTCCATCCCCTGATGCCCAGGCTGCTCTCCATCACCATCACAGCACAGATGGTGGAATGCATCAGGAAAGCCAACCAGCACGCGTGTTGTGCCCCAACGTTGTCTAACATTTTTCTGTCTGCACTGATCATAGGATTTGAAGAGGAAAACTGACGAGGAGATCCGAGTGCACATGGAGATTGAAAATTTCCTCAGGCATTACCACAAGGTCTGTGTGACTTCTCCTGTTAATGCTTTAACTGGCAACTGATAAACATTACATTGATCAGTTTCTAAAGAAAACCAATTATTGCTCCATCAAACTCACCAGGTTCCTGATGGTTGCTGGTTGGATTACTTCTTCCCCTCAAGCCCTAATTAACCCAGCTGTCCTATATTTGTGATTTGGATATATTGCCTTAAAATTACTGTTCATACAATGACTGGCACTGTTTATTCCAGAGTTACAGCTTTTCCTTCCCACCTAATAGGGATTTTGTTTAAACCATCCTTGGCAGTAGCTGGGATTTCCAGCAACTCGATGAGGAATGCTCTTGCACAGAGTTAGGGTGTCCATTTTGCACACCCAAGTGTTGCACAGTGGGAGCATTAAGAAAGAAAGGTCAGAAACTGCCAGCCTAATTATGCCTTTTCTTAATCTAAGGATGAACCAGGCCTGAATAACTGCTATCTCATGATTATTGTACCTGACTTGAGCAGCAAACAACCACGACTGTCCCTCTGCTGTTAATGCAAAGGTTCAGAGCTTTCCCATGATCAACAGCAGTGCTCGTAACAGTGAATGCCACTGGTGGGCATCTCGTAAACCGTATGACCAGAAGAAAACCTGTCCTACTGCAGGGTACCCAACATCACTGCCTGTTTGTAATTTAAGAAAAGGGTACAGAATTTTTAACAAAGTGCAAAAAAAGAGCTGCGTCTTCAGAGCAGTTACACTGTGATCTGTATGTTCCAGAACCACAGTTTGATCACTGCTTCAAAGTGAGGGGACCTCCTGAGTACAAACCTCTCTGCACTCAGACAGCAGCTGGTGGCTTTGCAGTGGCCCACACAGATGACCATGCCCTCTGTCTCCCTTGCACGTCCAGCTGTGACGCTGTCACAAGACTGATGCTTTTCCTCAGATTATTTTTCCATTAAGCAGTGATGGCTGTTGCTATGGTGAAGTTAGTCATGAATGGCAGGAAGTCATCGGTGTGGTGGTTTCAGAAACACCTGCCATCCTATTGATGAGTCAAACAAAGCCAAGTTCACAACCTGAGAAAGCACAAACTGCTCTCCCTTGGACCTAATTGCTGGTGCACTAAGTTTAATCCAGAATGTGGCCACAGAGTCACGTGCAGGATAAAAGCTCTCTCACTGTGAAACACTGTCTCCTAAACCCCTCTTCCCGTGCATGAAGAATGGCTTCTGGTTGTCATTTACTTCACCAGGATTGTGCACAGATGTAACCCCCAGTGCATCGCCATTCTTCATGCACCTCTGAAAGCCCAGTCTAGTCTGCCTTCATACCCAGTCCAGTTCTGCTGCCCCAATGCTGGTCCCCAGCAAGTTATCATTACTCCTAGTGTTGTGATCTTTTCAAGGCTTGGCCGAGAAGGAAACACAGGCCGTGCAGATCTGATGGGCGTCTTACCCCCATCCTGAGAGCAGGCATGTCACAGCAGTAAACCTTTCCCCTGCTGCTCTTTGTCCCCTGCTAAACCTCACTCTGTGCCATTGCAGAAGGTGGAAGAGAAGCTGGAATACTGGGTGGACAAGCATGAAAATGACACAGACGCTAAAGATAAAGAACTCAACGCCCTGAAAGAATCAAAGGCAAAGAACATGGAAATGCTGCAGAGATTTGCCAGCGAGGTAAGAGAGCAGCAGCAGCAGCTCAGTGCTCACCCATGCAAAACTGCATCCTGCCTTTTTTGTACCGTCAGCTGCAGGACTCTGATTGCAGATACACAGGCAGAGCGGAGCAGGCAGCACAGAGCAAAGTGTGTAGAAAAAAGGGGGCTAAAAAAAATTCACTTGTAGGCATTCCTTATTGTCACTGGTCTGAGAAGCTGTGGCTGATTTAGACGTTCCCCTGCTTGTGGGCTCCATTTTCACTCTGTATGCTGTCATCTCAGTGTCCCAAGTGTTTTCACTCATCATCTGCTACCTATCCTGGGGGAACGTGGATCCTTCCTACCAACATCTGTTGCCTGAGACCCCATCAGACAGCCATTTTACACCACAGGATCAGAAGGTTAATTACACACAGGCCATGAGCAGTTTCACTTTGGCAGCAGCTCTCAGTGCCTTAGGACTGGTGGTGGTAATGAGCAACATTTGCCATCTGGAATCAGGGAAGATCAAATATAGGAGGTGGGGAAGGAAGGTCTGTGTTTACCCGTTACCCGTGGGCTGCCACAGGGCTCCCGGTGCTCCCTGGATGTGTTTTTCATGTGACTGCTGAACTCCTGTGCCACTCTGCAGTGCTGGACGTTTGAGGAAACCATCATCGCTGACCGGGCACAAAAAGAGGCTGAAAGACGAAAACGAGAGCAGGATGCCCTGGAGCTGAAGAGCATCCTGAAGGTAAAGGGGAGCAAAGCTGAGGCAGTGCTGCTCCACCAGCAGCTTGGAGTTAATCATTTGCACCACAGCTATTGTTCAAGCAGAAAATGGCCTGAGAAAGTTGGCTGGTGTGAGGTGGCACAAGCGAGGGACAGATTCATAGAATCACAGAATGGCCTGGGTTAAAAAGGACCATAATGATCATCTCGTTTCAATCCCCCTGCCATGGGCAACCAACCACTAGACCAGGCTGCCCAGAGCCACATCCAGCCAGATTAAACTTGTCCCTTCTCCTTGGCAAAGACAAAGGCAGCAGCTACCTGCAGAAGGGTTAAGAAGGGAACAAAAGACAAAAAGCCAGTCTCTTTAGATGATCCGGGGCTGTGCTCATCACAGCAGCCCCTCTGCATGAGTGACACAGGAATGGAGTCACAGAGCTGCTCCCTTCCTCTTGCCACCAGCTACAGATGCCCTTGGCTTACACATGGACATGAGCTGCACCATGGGCCAGACGATCCTTCCTGCCTCTGGGGAGTGCGCGAGATGCTCCGGCCATTTTCCTGTGCCAGTGTTCCCCCTGAGATCTCTCTCTCCTGCTTCCAGCTGCAGGCCTGGTGGAGAGGCACAATGGTGCGCAGAAACCTCGGCCCCTATCAGAACCTCCGGAAGGCTCAGGAGAAGAATCTGTCAAATGAGAAAGGCAAAAAGGAAAAACCTGGAGCAAAGAAAAAGACGCGCTAAGAAATGTGGCCACGGATGTACTCCAGGGCTCCTACTGGGTAAGGCACTGCTGTGTCCAGCAGCACTAAATAAACCATGGAATAGAACTCAGGCTGAACAGAGTTCATGATGCACAGTTAAGGTGAAGCTCCTGTAACTTAAGACCCTGAATGATCTTTGTACAGCAAAAACACTGTTTCCTCAGTAGAAACGGAAACTGCATTAAAGCAATGAGAAACACGATATCCTCTGAAGCATTTTATACAGCTCATGAGCAATTCTGCTAACGGCTCAGTAACTCACCAGCATGAGATGCTCTGCCCTGAGAACCTCCTCCGCAGTCCCCCAAAGCACGGTGTTGGCTGAAGCAATGGGGTTTGCTGTGGCTCCGGCGGCTCAGAGCGGGGCAGGAAGCCAGGTCACCCACATCTGGGCTCAGGCAGTGCTCACCCCGGTGTCAGTGGCAGCAGTAGGTCGAGCCAGGGGAAAAATGCTGAAGGTTTGCAGTGTAAACATGGGGGCAGTCAAAGCACGCAGGTTTCCATTCCCACAGTACTGCAGAGTGTCAGCACATAGCAGAATAGCTCTACATGCCCTCCTACAGAGGAAAGCAGCCATGGAAAAAGACAGCTGATGTGCCACAGCCGTACCCACCATCCTGTCTGCAGCACCCGTGCGGGGAGACCAGGCAGCAGGCAGGGTGCAACGCCCTGCTTCATTTAACTGCAAGGGCAGCCCTTTCTCCGATGCTGCTGCAGCCACATACAGCGCGCAAAGCAAAATCAGCCCTGGGGCTGAGCTGGCTGGTTTCTAACAATCTTACAGAGAAGAGAGCTCAAACCATACAAGCCAAGCTGTGCTTTTTGTGACCATCCTCTGCTGGCCCTATCCAAACATCCTCGTGTCCAGGCTAAGCTGTGCCAAAAGCTCTGAAGTTCAAGTAGGATGACTGAGATCACGAGCAAAGAGCCTTTGGCTCAGGACTCTGTCTGAAGGGAAGGAAGGCAGGCACCAGGCCCTGGCTGCTGGGCTGAGCTGACTGTCAAGGGAGTGCTGACATTTCAGGTGCTTTAGACAAACTCTTAGTTGAAGTATAGATATTACACTGGAGCACTGCTGGTTAAACCAGAATGCATGCCTATTCCTGGTACTTTCAGCTAAGGAAAAAGTACAGAATGGAAGGATGGTCTCTCTCTGCTTTATGCTAAGTTCTAGGCACGCTTCAGTAATGCAATCAAACAGCTGAAATCTGAAGCACGACGTGGGCTTGTGTCTTCACCTGCTGTTCAGCAAACAAAATATAAAGTAAATCATAAAAATCAACCTCAGCCTCTGCCTGGCTCCCCTGCAGCCCAGTTCCCCACGTCAGGGTGACACAGCACCTCTCGGGGTTCGTTAAGGGCCCAGAGCTGCTGAGAATGAGGCAGTAGGAAGTTAAACTGCACCAAATCATAAATAATTCAGAACTTCCATTTCATTGCTTAATCTCTCAAACAGAAAACAAACACCCAAACCCACTAACTGCATGGACACAGCAAAGCCTGCTTCCAAAATCAGCAAGCACTATGCCTGTATGTAACGAGGAGGGGGTATTTCTTCTTCAAAAACAATTTAAAACTATTCAAAGCAACAGTAGAGCCACGTTTGTTATTCCAGTGTTGAGGGCTGCTGAAACCTCGAGTCTGGCCACTAGGTGCTACAGGCCTGTCAGGTGGGCAGTTTTTCAACCCTCCCCAGCCCACACGGACTCACACCCTCCAGGAACAGCACACCCACTCTTGCCTGAGCTCTGTTCATGCTGCCATCCATTCAGCTCCTCCGGGCTTCTCCGCTGCATTTGCTGCCTCAGTCACTGCTCTCCTCGTGAGTCTCACGGGGCCGGTGAGGAATCAGAGCCGACTGCAGTTCTGTGGCCACATGGCTGCTGAACGGACAGTGAGCGCACACAGCGCGCGTGCAGCACGGCTACGAACTGCAGAGCGAACCCAAGGCAGGATGAGGTGAGGAGGTGGAAGGTGAATACACAGCTGGCACAGAGGATGGGACATCCATTCACACAACAAGAATGGCAGGCAGAACAGTTCATGTAAGTCTTACAACTTTATTTCAAATTACCCACGGTTTCCTTTTATATTATTATTGTGCTGGAAGTTCACACTACTGGCAGAATACAGGCAATTTAAAATAAAGTGTACAATATCCAAACATATTTATATTTAACAGACATAGAAATTATGGAATGTATTTACAGACGTACAGCATGGGATGAAGCCTTAAAATCCTTTATTAATTACACGTTTACACTGCTTTCAGAAATAACAAAATTAGATTGCTTTGTAAAACATCACGGTATCTACACAAAAGGATTTTTTAATGTCTAAATTCACTTTAGAAGACCTCTGTTCCTAAAACACTTTTTTTATTTTTTGTTTTCTAGGGTTTTTTTAGTTTTCCAAAGGAACATTTACAGTCGTAAAAGGATAACAGAGCCATTTGCCACTGTGTCACAGCTGAGAATGGCAGACGAGTTCTCGGTGGTGTGAAAAGTTCTCTGTGGTTTATTTCAGCCAGGCCACCCAAGTCCCCTCCTTCACGAGGGGAAGAATCAGACCCCTGCTGTTCTGACCTCATCACATCAATGCTGTGAGGGACTCCTCAGTGCCAGTGCCATTCCATTTTGGGGGGGTAACATTGCGGAGCCTCAAACTCAGTGCTCACCATCGTTTGAGGAAGGATGGTGACACGACAGAGCTGGTGGATGAGCACCAGCAAAGCACAAAACGCCCCGATGGATTCCTCCCACATCCTCCAACACGAATGCCCCGGAAAGGAAAGGTAATTGCCTCTTCACACAAAACAGAATTTTATACACAACAAAAATTGCACATAAACACACTAAAAAATCCCACTTAGTCTGCAAAACAGAACCGTTTTTTGGTATAACACATTAAATAAACCGTACGATGAAACCTTAGGCTTGGATTTTTGTCCTGAACGTCTGGTCAACACTTAGTACCTGCCAGCACGAACACACAAGGCTATGCAGGTTAACCTAACGTGGCCACAGACATCTGGAAGCGCCGGAGCGAGCTGCTGCTTGTGACAGCGGGTCCAGGTGGCACTGCCTGTTGGTGGGCTCAGCTGCCACGTGTGAGTGCTGCCTGCAGCCCGGAGCGGCTGTCCTAACCAGACAACAAACACGGCCATTTCCAGCAGCTCAGACCCTCCACCTCCAACCCATTAATTCCTATGAACTCGTATTAATGAAACTTCCACCGACCTGAATGCTGTTAATTGTGTTATTGTCTGTAAGTGCTGGACTAAAGCAAACAACACCCTCACAGACTCCATGGGCAACGAGTGCTAGTAAGAAGTGACGTGCTCCCATATGATCCAAATGATGACCTCCTGTTAAAACTAATATGAACTCAGTGTCCTCCTCTTTCCAACTGCACGAGAGAAACACAAGAAACATCTGTGCTACGCTGCAGCTTGCTGTGAGTGGCAGAACCTTCCATCCAACCAACTGCAGCAGTAACTCCTGACACTTACGTAACCCCTCAAGAATTCCCAACAATCCCTGCAAGTGGAATTACGTGAAACATAAAACCTACTTGGGAGGAAAGCAGGCCTGCACGGAGCTGCTCTCTTCTCCTACACATTGCGAGTTGTTGGCATTTTCACTTCTTGCAGAGCTCACAGCAACGCGCTAGTTGGACTGAAAAGGTTTCTCCTTTCGGCTGTGCAGTTTTAAATCCCTTTCATGTGTTCTTTGTGACCTGCAACACAATCAGCCAATGCCAATAAGGAGCAACTGGAATTGTCGTGTGAAACACCGATGCAGCAGCCATCACGGTGAGTCCTGACGCTCAGACATGGAGCAAACAGACTGGAAAGAAAGCTGCAAATCAAAAGGGGAAGAAATCCAGCTAAGAGCAGTCTTTGCCGGTGTCCCTGCAGCAGGTTCACTGCAGTGAGAATGGCGTTTAGCTCGCCATTCCTCACTCCTCCTTCCTTTACACCTATAAAGTCCTCTTCACGTATTCTGCTTCCAGTATAACTCCGAGGCACAATGCTGGTCTCAGACCTCATGCAACCCCCGTTAGTGGCACACTGTTCTGGCCTGAACTGATCAGAACTAGCAAAAGAACTGTGCGCGTGGAGAACTGCGTTTTCCAAGGTCTGCCTTAGGGGGGGGAAAAAAAGATGTAATTGATCTGGTAGAGAGCTTGGCTTTGTTGCTGGGGCAAGAGCACAGAGAGCTCCCCACCTGTGCTTTGCACACTAACTTCCAAGAGTAATTCAAAACTCTCCTGCTGCCTCTCCTGTTCCTGTATACTGAATTTCCATTTTTATGTTAAAGAAAGAGGAAGAAAGTAATGGCAGTTGTGTAGAACCAGTGCATCCCTCTATACAAACACCCACCATCAAAGGTTTAAAGCCCTGCCAAGCCCACAAATAGAAGCCACCTTTTGTAGCACTTCTGCTTTGACAACATGCAGCCCACCTGTGGAAATTCAGTCCTTATGCTCCTAAAACGATGCATTTCTCAGCAGTGGTGACACTCAGCACGCCTGCACCTGGTGCTGCAGCCCCCACCAGATGCACAGCCTGGGCACGGCTTCCAATGGACTCGCAGGGCAGGCTGTACCTCAGTGCTGGCAAAATGCAGACGTGATTCTTGGCAGCCATGTGACAAAACCACTCAGTAACCAAATGCATCACACAGGGCTCCAGGGGGAGGTGAGAGGAGGTGGGAGACCCCCGATGTTGCTCATGTTTTCACAGATGCCTTGAAGCCCAAACAGAACACAAATCCAGCAAGAACGCTACCGCTACTCAGTAAATTCAAACAGTTCTGGTTGAGCATTTTTACCAAGATGTTTCTTGTGGAGAAAACACGCAGTATTTTTTCCTCTGGGTGGGGGGGAACCCCCTTTTTTTTCCTACACGTCTTCAGTAATGAGGCTATGCTAACACAGCTGCATAAGGACTGACCCTGATAAGAAACACTGTACTGGTTAGATTGTGCTGCAATTCTTTAAAAAATATATACATATATGTTTATAAAATGGAAAGAGCTGCTGTTCTCACGAGGCAAAGAAAGCTTGCTCTGAATCCCGTGGAGAAGGAATGACATCTCATTCCCCTCGTGCCCACTGCAGCAACCACCTTTTCTTTTTCTTTGTCTAATTAGAGAAATGAATTCCTATGGGAACAGCTTTCCACACTGGACACCAATGTCCTCCACCTACGAGGTCGGTTTCGACAGCCGGCTCCAACAGCCCCTGGAACTCCCTGCCCTCCTCACCACCCATTTTATCAGCAGGGGGCAAAATTACCGCTAATCAAAACGTGATTGGAAACTGTGGTGATCTCCAAAAAAAATGGAGAAACGAAGCGAAACATTCCTGTCAGGAATCACGGAAACTCGTGTCCTTAGAACAGAGCTCTGTGTGTTTGGATGCACTGCACGGGCAGTAAAGTCTTGACGTCCTTCTGCTTAGCCAAGGTAACCCAAAAGTCCCGGAGGTCTTTACACAGCAGACAAGTGGTGAAGCTGCTGCTGCTTTGGGGGTGCCAGCTCCAGCAGCGCCTGCACAGTCACAGCTACCTGTGTCAAACCCTTCTCTTCTAAAATATGGAGAGGCAAACATAATTGCTCCTGAATGGGGAACAAAACAAAGACAAAAACAAAATGGATGAAAAACACTCAACCGAAAAGGAAACTGAAAAATGAAATGTTACAGACAGCACACACACACACACAGGTATGAAATGAAACTTCTGCTCGTAAATAATGACTGTGTACACGTCTACTGCTGGGCTGATGGTCATGTTCACTCAGCAGCCACTACACAGAACAAATAATGAGAATTTGAAGGACTGTGGGAGAATTAAGAAACAGCAAAATCCTTTATTTCTGCCCGTGTGGAAATGGCAGGAGCTTATGACATCAAAATCAGGCTAACTTAAGGAGGGGGAAAGCTCTGCTTCAACACGATGAACCGCTGTCGTAGCACAGCTTCCTTTCCAAAACACAACTGACTTTTTGAGGGAGTCCTCCTGCAGCAAGCTTTGCTTTGGTACCAAATGCAAGCAAATCCCAACTTTAAAGCAGAAAGCTAAATAATTCTGCACGCCATGGACACACCACACAGGAAGCCTAAGGGGAAATGCCGTGCTTGAAAGCAGTTCTCCTAACGAGATCTTGCCCGTCTGAAGCCCTTCTGTCCATATGGATGACGTGATCTTTGTCATTACATAAATTCCTTGGGAGGGACAAAAGAGCAGAAAGCACCATTTGTTTTATGGAAAGGAAAAAAGGAAAAGACAGCTTGCTTCTGATCGATTGAAATAACTTTGATCGCAAGTGTAGAAAACAGCATTTCTCCTGTTCAAGGCAATGAGAAATCAACAGCAGGTTTGAGGACAAATATTCCTCCTGCATTATGTGAGTCACTAGAGCCAGGAGGCCTGCTAAGCAGCTTCCAAAGTCATTCTGAAGAATAAGAGTAATACACAAAGTGCAAAAGGGTTTCAAAGTGTTTATTAAGAATTACGCTGTTCTCAGTCTCGGATTTAAAGCCTCATCCTACACAAGTCCTTGGCACAGGGGGGCCATCCTCAGCCCACAGCAGTCATCCAGGGACGTGCGTGCCCAGCAGTCCTCTGTACCTCTACAGAAATACCCAAGCTGTGTTCTTCCTACAAAGCTACAGAGATTCCTTTTCCACGAGTCAGCTCTGCAGCACCCTGCATTCCTCCACTCTTTGCATCTTTACTGATTCTCCGTTAAAGAAATCCTTCAGCATAAACACCAGCGGCCAACGCTCCTCCCACAAAGCTCCGAGCGGAGAGAAATAGCGCAGGCTGGAAGCGCTGCGGGCAGGCAGCTGATCCAGCCGAAACGCTGCTCTTCCAGCAGAACAGTTCTTTTGAAACGATGTGCTTTGTGAGAAAATACTTGTAAACTGGAACAAGTGTTTGTTACCTTTCTTTTTGTTCCTTAGGTATGCAAGTAGATAAGGGGAAAAGCTTTGGAAAGAATCCATACCACAGCAATAGCTGCGGCAAACAGGACTTAAGAACGGGAAGGCACGGTTAGTGTGAGACCCCTGGCAGCTTTTATCACAGTGTTCATTAGAAGAAGGTAAGAAACATAGGAACAGAGTTCATTTTAGTTCACACCAGTAAACAGTGCAAAAATAGCTTATTTAAAAACAAACACCCCCCCACCAAAGGTGCCCTCTTTCCTCAGTAATGCTTTGCTTGGGCAGAACGTTTTGTGTCAGTCACAGTGTGCTTTGGGAACAGGGCATCAGCTCCTCCACTTGCTCCTTTGCTAAATATTCACTTCACGTTACAAGAGCTTGTGAGATCCACGTACACATAACTGGTAGCGGCAACATTTGCAGCTGAACTTCTGTGCATCTCAAATTGTGCTTCAGAGTTGTTGCCAGGTTAATGCAGGACTGCCATCACCACTTCACCAGGGCTTACGAACCGCTGACTGCATTTTCAGGTGTAACAAACAGGCCCTGAGGTCCCATTCAGAACAGGCCTGTTACTTCGCACTTACCTGCATCTGACCTCTGACCAGAGCTCCCTGAACCAACCTACACTCTGAGGAGACGTGGCCTTTTGCACGTGGCATGGGAAGTGCCCTCAAGTCCTGAGATGTCCCTGAGAAACACATTAAAGCACCGGGATGCTTTTCCAGAGGAGGGAAAAACTTTAAAGCTGTGCAGAGGACTACCTGAGATTTGTGTAACAGTAAAGAGGGAGCTGAACACACAGCCAGGTTGGGTATTTCTGTGTGATACTGACATTTCTGAAAACAACCACAATCAAGTGCCAACTCAGGAAATCTTTGTTAAGTTTCATCCATAGCACAGCAAAATGCTATGGCAATCCTGTGGCATCTGATAGAACCCAAAGGATTTTTCTTTCTGTACCAGAAAGGTTTTCTTTCAGAGCTGTTCAGAGAGTTCAGTTTCTCTGCAAACCTCCTCTTTGATCTGTTATGAAGCTCAAAAAGCTCAGGATTCATGGACAGCTATTTTAAAACCCCTGACTCATACATAAAACATGGCAGTCTATCAAAAGGAAAGTCAAATTCTCTCAGAAGCAGGGATAAGGAGCTGGGATCTGAAAAAACATCCCAAGATTTTGTGAACAAAACTTATCAGACCACGACTCCTAAGACTGTGAGAGCTAATCAAGGTCACTGACGTTCAAAATACTTTGTGTTGTTTAACACCTCTTTCATCAGATAATCTGGAAGCAATTTACCAAACTGATACAAATGAACTGGGTGCAGTTCTAATCGTACAGACAGGGAAACTGACACAAACTGACAGTGCAGTTCTCCTAGTGCTAGATCCCTCACCAGCAGTCAGCCTGTAGCACACACCTGTGTGTCCCTACAGCTCGGGCCCCTGCTCCAGCCCACAGGCAGCACCTCCTCCCCTAGCATTACATCTGCTCAACATCACACAGCAAATACAAACGTGAGTTCTGCCACAGGTGGTTGTATGGGTGCATCGATGTGTTCACACACTGCCTTTGTCACCTCCGTTACTTCTCTCCCATAAGTGAGAAAGAGCACTTTGTACACACGGTCTTGACAAAACCCAAAATCCTTTACAGAGAACTGGAGTGATGGAGGGAGGAAACAGCAGCACCGTCCCTCAGCTAGAGGAAAAAGACGCAGCGATAGACCATACAGAGCATTAGCATCAGAGTACAGTAAAACACCACAAAGCCCCAGAGCTGAATAGAAAGGGAGAGAAGACTGGATTCTTCTGAATCTGTCCCCAGGGAAAGAAGAGTCTCAACTGTTCTTTTAACGCTGAGGTTTAGCTGAAGAATGTCAGAAGGGGAACAAAGATTGTCCTGTCCAGAGTGTGTAAGCAGGAAGGGAAAACAGACAGAAAAAAAGGTCAGTCAGTTAGCCATAGCAACATCCACTAAGCAGTCAGTCAGACATTTCAGATCATCTGCATGTTCAAGAAGTGTAACACGGTTATTTCTCACAAAGCAATCTGTACAACTCCCCATTTCAAAGAACACAAAGTGCAGATACACAGTGCTCAGCGAGGAGCCTGTAACCTCCACAACTTACACATGGAACCAGCTTGGCAGTTAAAAACAGAGCAGTTCACACGTGCCCTAGTGAAAGCCATTTCTGCAGGGCAAACAGCCTGCAGCTCAGCTTTGTGACATGCTTCTGGCACTGAGTGCTCGTGCTCAGTCTCCACCATAATTAATGAAAACAGCAGAAGGGATTCTTTTTGTGTAACTGATCCTTGAATGCAGCATTCTGCAGAAATATCTATTACTAATTAGAGTTTAATCTATTACTAATTAGAGTTTCAGTGCTCTGTAACTGTTCCCACAGTGTCTCACTTGCCTGCTGCACATCAATGAAATCTAGATGCACACCAATCTGCTCAGCTGGAGGTTTCTTTTCATGCCACAGCACTGGCCAGCAAAGTTCTGTGGGAATGGCTGCTTCACTCTGATGCCTGTGATTGTATTTTCTGAAAGTCACCTTCTACGTAAAGTGGCATTCCTCTTAGAAGGTATTTCTGCATAGATCCATGCTTCCAGCAAGCCCTTCATTTTTGTAATTGGAATTCAAACGAAAAGAAATAGCTAAATAGCTGCAGGCATCTTTTCAGCAGAAATACACGAGGCTGCCACGCCGTTCCTTCATACGGCAATCTTACTTCTCATCTCAGCAGACAAGTAATGCAGACATGTGAGAGCAACGTTAGAATCCAGCTGGGGTACTGCAGTGGGTTTCCCCAGAGACATTCTCCTTCAACTCTTTCACATTAAAGCAGGAGAACTGAGAAAAACAGGAGGATGCTAAACAGAAGGTGCAGTAGATGGAGCAGAGCGGCTCTATAGGAGACTCTTGTCCTGAGTGCTCTTTTCTTGTTTTTAAAGGCGCGCCATTTCAGAGATCAGCTTTGTACTCCAATCCCATAAAAATTACATCTCCGTGTGGACGGAGCTGTGACCAGGGGAGCTGCAGTGGGATTGAACCATTCTGCTCCAGGATCTGTACTGTGCAGTCCTGCTGGGAGTCGCAGGCTCCAGTTTCTGAAGGGACTCAAATACCTCATCGTCTCAGAACATGGACGATCATTTATGACTTCCTACCATGTTCCAATGCCATTCACAGTGAGTCCTGTGAAACTGCTGGGCAGCTCAATAAATATTCTATCCTAAAATCCCAATGGCTCAAATGCCTTTGTGTGAAGCTATCAGAAAATACTGCAATATTGACTTGAGAGCACTGCTTTTACAAATAGCAGGGAAATGAGTCACTGGGTCTACTTTTCCCTTTCACAATACATATAAAAGAAAACAGCACCTACAGCAGAAACACTGTGTACGTGTAAGAAACCAATCACATTTATACACTAGAAGAAAAATAAAGAGAAATCATGACATTGAAATCATTTGTGTTGAAGCAGCCGCTGAATAAGACAAAGAGGAAAGGAGAGGACAGCATAAAACACCGTAACAGGACTCATTTCAGAAGAGAGAAAGAAAACCAGAGATTGGAGTTCTACCTCTGGTACTTAGCACAAAGAATGAGATCTGTGCAAAGGTAGCTACTGTCAGAGAAAGGCCAACAACAGTGAGACTTCTTGGCAAGGTGGTACAGATGTTCGCACAAAAGGATTATTCTGAAGGAACATCAAATGCTTTGGAGTTGAAGTTACACATGCAAAACATCATCCAAGCTTTATCCCACTTTTAAGCTGCCAAATACCTAATACTGAGAAAAATGAATTGTCTTTATCAAGTACCTTGCAGTTCTAAAGCCAGGCTCAAGCTGCACTCAGCTGTTCTGCACTTAAGGCACAGCAGTCAGTGAATCAGAGCTCTGACAGACAAACTACACCCAACTTCTTTTTACTGGAGAAGACAACGCAGGGTCTTATCTACACAGTAATGCATACCTCACATGTGAGCCTCCTGAACTTTTAATCACCTCACATTTTCATCAGACGTTTCAAGGAACACTGATTTCTTTTCCTGACCATAAAAACACAAAATCACATCTGCACCTTAACATCAGAACAGCAGAAAAATGTACCTGAGGCACCCCGATCCTTCGGCAAGCTTCCAAGAAATTCTCCACGTTTCGTCTGCATTTCGCCATTGTGAGCTTAGGCTGCAAAAGAAGCAGGCAAAGTGCTCTTAATTGGGAGGATTTTAATGTTAATGAAACTCTTAATAAACCTCTTTTCCAAAAAAAAAAAAAAAATCACACGGCAGTAAGTTTGTATAATTCAAACCAGGCTGTGCTGCAGTTTGCTTAGAAAAGCAAGTTTCAAGCTTTCTGAAAAGCTACTTTATGAATACTGGATGATTTTTTAAGGCAACTCTAACCTGTGCTGTATCGGTGCACAGTGTTACATAAAACAGGCTAACATTTTAGTGACTGTAATGGGATAATTTAAGACACATACTGAATGAAACATACACACACGTAGCACCTGTGCCGTGATTTCAGCACAGTTTAATGATATGAAGCAACCTGGAGTCCATTCTGGATTACTATGTTAAATAAATACTGAAAATCTGGTTTCAGTTAAGAAAGAGATAAAAAAAATGAAGGCTAGATGAACCCAGATACCATGGAATAAAACCAGCACTGCGACTTGCTGCATACAAGCCTCCTGCAGATGGATTCACTGTCACTTTTCAAGTCAGTTTTTTCTGCATAGTTGGCTTTCTCACCTCTACATGGACACAGCACTGCACAGCTCTGTCTTGTTTCTATTCCTGAAGCTTATTCTGATTAAAGAGACACAAGCTTCCTGTTCCTTCACACAAGCTGCTGCAGCAGCAGCCTCCAAGTTCAGTGGTTTTCCTTCAGAGGGGGGAAAGCAGACCGCTGGGGCTCTTGTTCTGCCCCCCAGCCTGCCACGTACCCCACCAAGAAAGCAGGTTAAAGGCTATTGCTGCCTTCTTTCTCCTGCAGGATGGAGGGAGCACAAAGACCACATTGTGACTGAGCAAAGACGCGATGCCTCTTCTGCTGCTGCAGCCATCCAGCCACAGGCTGCCTCTTCTGCGACATCGATGACAAAGCCATGATTTAACTTGTAACAGAATATTCAGCAGCACATAAAACCAAGCCATTGAGAAGATATTCTTGACAACTCCAGCATCGTGAATAGCAGCTGTCTGCATTTCTCTTAATGATTCCACAATCTGCCTAAAATGTTGGCGTGTCCAGCTCAAAATAATGAAGACATCTCCTTGTTCACATCATTCCAAGCAGGAGGAACCACAATGATACAGTATGCAGCCCTGTAAGTGCCAGTTCAAATTCCAACCAACACAAGGACTGACTCCAAATTAAAAAAAAAGCAAACAGCGTGCTTGTTTCAAACTCTTCTCACAGGAAAAACTTCTTCCCCTATTTATTTAGTTCTAAGATGACGTGAAGGTGCATCACAAGCAGTTTGTCTCTCTGCTGTACTTCCAAGTTGCTGATCCTAAACGTTCTCACTGAACTTTCTGACTGCCACATACCTGTTATTTTTTTGGTTGACAGATGACTGTAATTAATTTGTCGCTGTGTCACAGCTCTGCATCCCACTTTAATTCTGAGCTCTCCCAAGGTGATACACAATAATGCACCCAATAATGTATTACCTTTGTTGCCTTACAAAAACACTGCAGTTAGGTAAGAGGAACAAGTTCCTCAGTTGCCAAACTTCTCTGTGCACTTCTTTTCTTGCTCTGAACAGCCCCCAGATAAAACAATCCTTTTTCCTTTGTTATCACAAAGGTCTGAGTGGATTTACTTTGCTCCAGGAGATGCTGTTCTCCAAGCACGTGCAAACACAGCTCAAGTGTGCTCTGCTGACATTCCTAAGCGGAGAAATTCGTAGTGCTGTGAAATGGATGCAGGAATCATTTTGGCCTCTCTACTTGTTCTTGCTGTTCTGTGCAGCAGGATCTCAAATAATGCAGGGAATGTTGTGTTTCCCTCTGTGTTTTCCTGAATTTCTCAGATCTTTTGATCTTCTGAAACGTCCTATTTTGTTTTTCAGGATTAACCGTCTCTTATTTTACTACTCTTCATGTTAACATGGGGAGGACATGAAAATCCTAATGATTTCTGGAAATCTGTACCAGAAGTAACTTTATTTAAATGAAACAAACCCAAACCCGCAGGCTTTAAAGTGAAACCACAGACACTGCACAGAAAGGTTGCCACACACGTTCACAAATGAAAATAATGAATTTCACGCTTGCCTGGATTACAGATCTTTGCTGGCAGGGTTCTGGACCCCTACAAAACGCTGTCATTGTGACATACTTACCACAGCAGGTGAGGGGACGTGGATGCTGGGGACAGACCGAGGCCGGACGTGGTTAGCCAGGTGGCACAGAACAACGCCGTCCGTGAGAGCTGCTCCAAGATCACTGGGCAGAGACACTTTCAACCGTGATTCGATATTCTGTGGAAAATGAACACGGACACAAACATTCAGGGCTGGTTTCCAAGCGTTTCAGCCTGCAGAACATTTTTTAAGAGCAGAAGCATTTGAGTTACAACTCCCTGTCCGTTCTCCAGGCTGGTTGGAACAGTTTTCTGAGCGATGCCAAGACGGCTCCTGCACTGCGCTGGGCCAGAGCTGAACACGGTCTGGGAGCACCTGAGTTCAATGATGAACAGTTTTCTTTGCACAGCACATTGGGATTAACACAACCATTCTCCAAAAATAACAGAAATCAGGGTCTAAGAACAATATTCCTCACCCTTCACATTCTCAGCAAACGGCTCTGCAAAGGGAACTGAAAATAACTGTCGACTGGAGGATGATACAGCTAATAAAAGTCTCAGTAAAGAAAAAAACCAGACAATTACTTCGTAGAGTTTTTAAAAATGACGTAGTTAACAGTTGTTTAAGGAATGAACATAAATTCAAATCAGGTTTTACTTCAAATGCTGTGCAGATTTCACCAAGTTGTTAAGTTAAATCTAAAATCTTAAGTATACAAAAAAGATTTAATCTTACCTAGGAAGCAGAACAAGAGAGAGACTGCACGTAAAGCATTCTGAGATAAGAGATGAAAGGTTCTACAAATGCTGAGTTTTGTTTCATTTTACTTAAGAGAGCTTTCTCCTTTTAGAGGGAGCAGATTGTCCTTACTCAGACAGTTTGCAGAGAAAGAACTCTCTGCCTACCTGGGATGCTTACAGCTTTTAAAATCAGCTTTAGAAAGGAATTCTCATTTATTGAGAAAGCTCAGAGCATCAGAGCGCTTCAAGGAATCCCTTCACAGACAGCACAAGTGTGCGTGGGGCAAAGCAGAGCACTACCTTAATGCCCTGTGGCATAGTCAGTACCAGCCAATGTCAGGGCACAAAGCAGGGCATGCTGGCCCTCAACCAACAAAAAGCCTGAATGTAAGGAAGATTTTTGCCACAGATATTCTACAATTAACTAAGCATAAAGCAAGAGTCAACAGGGAGATTCAGAGCACACAAGGAAAGTATGCTGTCATCACGACTGGCAGCAGTCCCTGCGTGCCACCTGCTTTTCTATAGGCTTTATAGCAAAGATGAAATGTATAAAGAGATTAAAAGGAAAGACACTGAGGGAGCTTCCCATGGAGCTCCCCACAAGTACGAAGGGTGATAAGGGAAAGATCTAACAGCAGAGATCACTGGCCATCCAGAAGCTGTGTATTTCACTGCAGCTGGACCTAACTTTATCCACAATAAAAAAAAACAACCTCCAGTGCCTCCATCTGAAAGAAACACTCAGCTTGCACAGTGCCATTCCATTTCGGTCGACTCCTCCCCATAACTGGCTCAGTGCAATCAGTCTGGAACACAAGGGCAGCTTTAACATGATGGCACACGAGAGCTTCACTGGCTTTGTCAGCTCTTACCTTACGTAGCTGCTCTATCAGCTCCAGCTCCTCCTCACGCTGCTTGGAGCTCTGCCTAACTCTGGTGTCTGCAGAATCATTAGCAGGAGACAAGGCACGGGAAGATGATGAAGCAATCACTGAAAAAACAGCATGGAGAGAAATCAGTAAGTATGGTTTGGCTGACTGCCCTCCACTGCTGCATTACACACCCACAACGTTCCAGAATGGGTACAGGGCATTCCATTTCACAAATCTGCTTCTTTAAAAGCCTATTAACCTATCAAACTAATGACCTGCTAATCTAAACGAGGTGTTTCCTAACACATCTTCTTTTCCCTTCAGATGTTGTTGTTTCTGTTGGCTACCAATCATTCACAAAAAGAAGACAAAGTTTTGACAGATGAAGTATGTTGAAAGAGTTTAGCCTTTTAGGCTTTGCAATTTTGCCATATGCTGTTACATATAATGCAAATTCTACCAAGCTGCCTTTGTAACTTGTTGAAGGCTTGCATGGCATTTCCTTGCTACCTTTTCAGGCGTAAGGACAAAGACCAAGAAGAACAGATTCCCACATTGTCACAACTACAGTGGTCGTTCACAAAGCATTTACAGGGCCACATGTTTACAAACTGAACCCTAAAGCTAGTTTGGTGATAATGACCTGAAGTAACAGAGCAGTGCAAAACCTAGGTAAGGCAAACGTTAATAAGAGGCAATGCAAAACAGGCTGATGTGTGAGTGACATAACCTACCTTTGTTTGCTTCATCCCTGACAGCTGCTCGAAAAAGGAAACTCTCGGGTCGCTGGGAAGGGTTTCTATAGGAAGGCAGGGCTGCATGACCAGGATGTGCAGGGGAAAGGTGGACTAAACAAATGTGGGAAGGCACAGGAAAGGAAATGAGGAAGAAGGAAACGGTTAGAATTTAAATAGGAAATGGGTTCAGCAACGTGGCAATTAAAAAAAAAAACAACAAATTTTAATATAATGACAAAATAAATTACATGCATGCATGATAAAAGCATAGAGCAGGAAAGGCACTTCCAAGGACACTCGCCATGCAAAGCACATTCCACATACCACTTCCAACAACTGTTCTGCCTGCAGCTGAATGGATCTGTGGGCCAAAGCCTACACTGTCCCTGAGGACATGCCTCAGCCCTGCTGCCTCTCCCCTCGCGTGTTTTCAAGGAGACCTAAATCAGTGGGTAAGCTCTCAAGCACAGCAGTGCCACACACAGCACTCCCTTCTCCTCATAGAACAAATGTGCAGGCAGATGTTTCGGTCTCGTTTTTCAGAAGCTTTGCTTCCTTTCCCTGTTACCTGTCTGAGTGGAGGGTGAGCCAGGAGAGATGGTGGATCTGTCATCACTCTGTAGACAAAAAAGCAGAAGAGCATAAATGGTCCTAATCTGGAAGAAGTTGTGACTACATTTTTACTATTTGCTGTGTTTTATGCAAGGCACCATCCATCTAAACGTACTTCAGAATGAAAAGCCAGACGTGACAAACACAAGTTGTTCCCCAAGCCTTATCTCTGCAGAAAGCAGCTAAGCTTTTTTGTTTGCAGAAATGCCACAATTACTCTTTTCTGAGGAAGAAGTGACGAAACAGCACTGACAGTGCAATGCTCTCTTTGTTTACTCCTTCTCACCAAGATGCTAAGTATCCTTTGCAGAGGGGGCACAGCAAGAGCAGCTAATTAAAGAACATGCTAAACTTGCATAACAGCAGCACGGATAAGAATGCACCGACTCTTTGACACCTTGATAATGCAGAACTGCTATTCACTGAATATCAATTTCCCTAGCAAAATACACTTTAATCTTACTATAGTACTTAACACAGACCGATTTCTCATGATGAAGGCACTCAGAATAGCAGTGTCCACAGAAGAAAATTATAGGATACCCATACTCAATGGGAAAAGCAAGCCAGTAAAGAACACAGTAGAAGTACTCTGATAAACTCGACTTTGTGAAGAGAAAATCATCTTGTAAATAAAAAGCAACATCAAAGACAACGAGGAGCAGAAGGGTTAGCATGTTTTTTAGCTTAGACACAGCCTAAAGCTAAGATGAGGTCACAGCTATTACAGTTTAATCGTGTAAATCAGGTTCATACCCTACCTGAACTTCTGACTAGAAGCTGACATACCAACACCTGTTAAAACAGATGTGTGGATCCCAGTTTTTTGTAGGCTTTATTGGTGAATGACAATAGCAAGAGATACCTTGGCAGGACTGAGGGCAGAGGCGTTAGGCAGGGCAGTAGCACAGCTGTCTTGATTCAACCCTGAGAGGGACTGAATGCAGAAAGAAAGACAAGGCAGCAGCAGTGTTAGCAAGCAGCTGGTAGGGCACATGCACAGGTGGAACTGAGTAACCAGGTCAGAAAGGAAGAGGTGATCATGGTCACGTGCTTGGAAACACTTAAAAAGCAAAAGGCAGGCACAAGAGGTATTTGCTTTTCAAACTGTGGTTAAAGCTTTCCTACCCTCCTGAACTTTCTGGCTAATGAGCCTGGGAGGTGAAACTTTCCTTTTTACACACAACAAAGTGCCATCGGAAGCAAAACGACAAGCGGGTAAGCACTTCCTAAAGAAACACCTGAAGGAAAGTGTACCCTCCAACAGCCCATCCTGAGCCACTACTCTAAATACTTTTCTTTTTAATGCTTCAAATTAATCTATCAACTCTGTAAGATCAGAGAGACTCACATTTAATGGGCTTAAGGACTGCGTTTGTTCTGCCACGGATACCTGATGCTGATCTTGGTGAATTACACATGGAAGGAGATGTTACAGACAGGGCAAACCTTACACAAACACCTTCAATGCCCCATGCAGACAGCAGCTGATCCTCAGAACAGCCTCCTTCGCTCACTTTTTTTGCTGTTTCCGTTCGTTTGCTTTACAAGTTTCAAAATGACACTTCAGTAAATGTACCAGCTAGTACAGCAAAAAGCAAAATAAAACAAATGGTGGTGGTCTGTGACACGAATGCATCTTTATTCCTGTGCAAAAAGAGCAGGACAACCTTGACACAGACTAACAAGCAGCAGTCACAATCCACAAACCCAGCAGTGGGCAAAGGGGGAATGCAGCACAGAGGGTAAGGGAAGCACAACAGCAACACAGCGCATGCTCTTCACCTGTTTGCGAGTCCCTGGCCTTCTCTTAATGGTATTGGTGTTACTGTCAATCTCAAACACAAAGAGAGGCTCAAAGCCATTCTGTCAGGGACAGCGAGAAAAGAAAGGGAGGCAAAAGAGGAAGAAGTGAGGCAAAGAACAACTGTAAGTGAAGGCAGCTGCAATACAAGAAGAATCAGGGTGCCGCAATTCTGACTTACAACTGCACACGCTGCTCTTCATTTCTAGGCGTAGCAATGAAGCTAGAGAAATGTCCCCAGCCAGAAACAACTTTAGATAGAAAGAATGCCAAAGCAGAGCCCAACTACGACTCTGCGCTAACTAAAGATAAGGCTATTTCACATCAGCTTGATTGTCAGTTGTCTGAGCATACAAGTGGGCGATAACTTCTGAGAGAAACCTCCAGGGCACAAGTTAGCATAATTCAAGTCATGCTTACTTTTCTCATGCTGTTATTACTTGTAGCACACTGATGCCCAAAAGGCTTAACTTCAAATGTCTCAGAGATCCCACGTGCTAACTGTGATGATGGTCCCAGGTCACATTTGAGACCACAAGAAGAAAACACAACGAAGGCAGCCGAAACAGCAGCAGTAACATGAGTGTTACATGAGTGTTACACAGGTCACAGCAGCTGCCTGGTGCCCACTGGGCATTTCACAGGCTTTGTGACAAACTGAGAAGCACTATGTGAGAACAACAGTGGTGCCTTTAGTATCCATCTCCCACTAACCCACCCTGTAACGTACAGTAATAGAAGGGAAAAAAAGCCATCTGGGGAAAGATGAGATTCAAAAGCAGGCAAGACTGAAATCACTACCCCAAGTCTGAAGCATTGATGCCGTATTGATAAGCACTCCCAATTGCAGTGAGAGTACTCTGGTGGGAATGGCAAACGGGATATGAGTGATACAGCACTGAGTTACACTGGAGGTTTTCTCAGAGAGGCCAGCAACTGTCTGTGAGCAAAGCTTTAGTTAGTCTGGCTGTTATAAATCAACACAGTGAAATCCATCACAACACGCACTCAAGTCCTATAGCCAAACCCCACTTTGCATCACACCACAGGGATGCAGAAGGAACAAGCAAGTAAACTGTATATGCTCACAGAAGGCATGGAAAGCCATTTTGTGAGCTGAAACAGACTGCCCTGAAAGTACCTACCAATGGGAAGGAATGACCAGAGCAAACTGTGCAACACAAATGCATTTCAATCTGTGTTAAATGGCAACAGACAAGAGGGGCAAAAGAAACGTGATGAGATTTAAAAAGGAAAATAACAGCTTAAATTTGACTTCTAGGAATTTTTCTGCTAAAGAGGTAACGACACCTGAAGAACTATCGAAATAAAGGACTTGCATTCTAGGTAACTGTTAATTTTTTTGGAACAATTAGTGGAAAATACAATAGACAGAATGCAGCTTTATTGGCATGCAGTGTTTAGGCATAGGAAATGATACAGAGAAAAGGATGTAAATGGACAAAATGCACTGAACTGTCAGTAGCAAATGGTGCTTTGATATGAATGCCCCTATGCTTCACTGAAGGAAAAAAAAGCCAGCCTCAGAGCTTAGATCTAGCTACATTTCAAGCCCATAGGAAAAGACAAAATGTCAAGGAAATGCAACAGAATTAAAAAGGGTAAAAGTAAAATTTCAACTCTTATGACTACTTCTGTTTTTTAAGCAAACCAGTGATCGATTCCTTGCTGTTAAACAAGTTTTTGACATACAAAATACAGTAGTGGAAAAAAACAACTGCTCCAAATTCATGAGCTGCCCAGAGCTACACGTTCCAGTCACAGCAGCTGTCCTGGCATCTGTCATCATTAGACACAGTATGCATTTCCACTGCAGCACAGATATGCAGATCATACTTCCATAGTTCAGAAAACCAATGTTTCATACCCTGAAAGCATGATGTATGGGATGCAGAGTTTAGAGCTGCTGAAAAAGAGCAAGAAATCCCAAGAAAATTTAATGCAGAAACTGTTTTCAAATATGGTTCCAACTTTCCCTGCCAGCCCGGCCACTTTTTCCCCCAGCCCCTTTTTTGTGCATGGATTCAACCTGGATAAAGGAACAAAAGAAACCACCGTGAATGGAATTTTTAGCAATCAGTTTGCTGAACTTCCAAGTATACAACCTAGAATTTAGTACAATAAAAACCTAACAAATAAAATACAATAAAAACACTAACAAATAAAAGGGGTCCTTAAAACGGATCATCTTTGAAATACATTCTGAAGATGAATTCACTGTCAGCACTTCACAAAACCCACGTCTGCTCTCCTGGTTCTTACAGCATATAAAGGAGCTTTTGTATTTAGATTGGCTGAGTGTGATTTCTGTCAACAGGTACAAGCAGGATCACAACACATTCCTTTCACAAGGAGCCTTCTTCTGCCCCCTCACAGTGCTGGGCATGAGACAGCAGAACACCAAGACGTCTGAATGGAGAGAGAAAACACTGACCAACACGTTCTGAAGAGGTGTGTTCTGAGAGCACTGCCTAGAGAATTCAGGTAGGTGGTGGGGATGCACGTGAGCTAAGAACATAAATCCCAGGCATGCAGTCATGCAACAGCAGGCAAATCAAGTGTATTCTCCTTCTACAGACAAGGATTGTGGCATTAATAATATTCTTTAATTATGCTGCATCAGTAAGATGCCATAAAAGAAGAAATAGCATAAAACATGAAGCACATAAAAGTTTTCCTTTTTGCTAGTGTTCAAAATAGGTAAGAAAGACATCTTCATCACTAACCAGCAGCAGAGAACGAGGAATAGCTCAGACTTTTAGCACTTACGAGTACAGCAATATTTCCCCCTTGCTGTGCTGTGGTTCCCAGGTCACCACTCCATGCCAAGCACTCGGTGCAGGACGCAAACAAAGCTCAAGTGGGGGCTGTATTCAGAGCACCCAGTTGTTTATTTGACACTGGAGAGCTCATCAATTAGGAAGCAAGCTAAATGGAGGGCAAATCAATGTAATGCTACTGGAGATCCATTTTGAATTTTATGTTGTTCTTCATTAGTAGTAATTTCCTTCTGCTCTTAGCAAAAAGCAAGCTTTAATTATTCTGCAGGAAAACATCACTATATTATTAAGAAATGGCTGACAGTACAAACATCAGCATACTCAAGATAAGTCACTTTTGAAACAAGAGGTCATGTTTTATGCTATTTAGATTAGATCTGAAAGAGTTGGTCTAATCAGAGACAACCGTAACACATCATTATTTTCATGTTCCAGAATCTGCCACAGAAAAAGGCTGTTGCGTGCAGGATCTTACCACTAACAAGGCACTATCATCAGTATGCTGAGACCTTCTGGATGGAAAGGGACACTGGGAGGTGGGAGAGATGGAGTAATGTCAGAAACAAACAGAACGACACAGCTGTGAACAGACAGACATTTTGGAACACGTGCTGCTTGTTTATAGCACTGTGAGGCACTGCTTCTGCAGTTCCATACAGCAGCCAACACTGCGTAGGAATACAGCCACATGACCCAGGAATTACAGGGTACTCCTATCACTTAAGGAATCAATTACCCTGCTGTGTTGTCTCAAGCACATACAGACAACCACGTATTCAGTTTTTAGCATGGGAGAACAAAGGACCCTTTAAAAGAATAAACTCAGAACAAAAGAACATTAAGAAGAGCAAAAAGGAGCAAAGACTATTTCAAATATCCCTCGTTTTGGTAATTTTCAAAGCAAAAATAAGGTGAAAAATGCTTCTGAAGAGATAATCATGCTTGCATTAATAAACATATAAATAGAGTTGCATTATGCTGTTAAAGGTTTTGATCTGATTAATGCTGCCACGTGAATTAATTTCCCTCATGTAAGAGGGGATGGCAAGCAGTGGAAGAGCACTTATTACACACTGCACACAGTGAGCAGATGTCACTGGCTCATCCTGCACATCTTAGAAGACTGAGCTCTGCGTGATTTCTTGTCCCCTTTTTATTGCCTTTGCCTATAAAATGATATTAAAATAAAGCTCATTTCTTTTCTTTTGAATAAGCAAACAGACCTCAAAAATAAAAATAGCTGATCTTTCTGGGATAACTGGAATTACGACAGGCAAATGGAGGAAACTGACCGGCGAATGAGAAACGACTGCACCACTGAAACCTGCCTGCGTGCTCCCATTAGAAAGTGATCTGTATTGCTTCCAAGCAGCACCTTGAAATGGAACGTGAAATCTATTTTCCATATAGGACATAGAAAACATACAGGAAAACAAAACACTCAGACAGGCAATCTGCACGAACAGGAGGAAATATTAAACTGATCCATAAGGGGAGGTGTGTGCTTGGGGTGTCAACCAAGGGCTGATTAAATGTGAAATGCTATGCTATAACCCAGTCCTGAAGTGCTCTCCACAAACAGGAAAACCTCTGATTTCTGAGACAGCCTTTTTTTCCCCTGGAGAAAAGTAATGCTCTCACTGGAGCCTTACCTCACTATCCAGAGGACTTTGCTTCTGAGGACTTAAGGATGCTTTTTGCTATACAGAAAGAAAAAAAGACCAATTTAAAAGAATAAGACAGAAACAAAAGCTCTGAATATTACAGCGTAATTAAGAAGTTTCAAAACAGAAATAGTCCTAGTTTTTAAATAAAACATGTACCAGGCTGATTGCAAGTTTCCACTAGCTGAAACTTCACTAATATTATTAGTCAAAAGCCAGCTTTTATATTGTATGAAAACAAAAAGCCCAAATCGTTTTTGCATCTTAAAGAGGCATAACAGACTCAAAATATAACCCAAGGGAGGAATTCCACAGCTGAGAACAAAGTTCTCATGAATAACAAAGGCAACAGAAGAAAAAAACAAGAAGGCTTGTCAATGAAGATGCATTTTGGTAAGTTTTTAACTGAAAGACTGAGCTGATTTTCTTCAATAATTAAAAAAAAAAAAGAAACAACTATTTTCTGCACAATATTAGCAGGGCACTATGATAGTTGTGTGAATGAAAAGCCTCGCTTCATAGGCAGCTCAAACCCTAGCTGCTTCTTCATTTGCTTTATAAAACACCACGCATGCCCAAGAGTGCAGCACGCAAGTGTTAAAGACCATAGCAATTCATTTTCATTAAAGAAAAGATAGAAGTTTGGAATCTACTGAGGACTAAAGGAAAGGTACCTTAACAAAGTCGAGAACAGCTTCTCTCTGGATCTGCTTTGTTCTCATCCTTTCCTCCTCATACTGCAGTGCTGCCAGCTGTGCCTCCCGCCGGGTTCGCTCTATGTGCCTGCGGTGCAGGTCAGGGTCTGCATTGGGCACCTGGAACAAAACAGTGCACTGTGCTGTACAGACAGAGCTACAGACAGATGGGCTGCAGAGAAACAGGCTGCGTCTTGGGGCTAGCCTAAGTTTGGTTCTGCATCAGGCTTAGCCAGAAGAGTAAGACAGAAGAGTTCATTGTGTTACCTGACTCTGGTGACTCGATAGAAAGTAAGGTGAATCAGCTGGGGCTCTGCCAAATGGAAAAAGAGAAAGGATATTTTCAATCTTAAATTTAAAAAAGTGAAATCACACAGAGCTGTCAGTGATGCACATGTACCTTATTAACTCTGTAAGAGTAGCTATTTAGCAAGATGTCAAACTGCTGCAACAATGATTTGACTTCACTACTTCATGGTCGACTCAGTGCAGTTATTTCTACCTCTTCTCCTGAACTCTATATTAAAATGCTTCCACAGCTCAACATGTATCAATGGCTTTGCACATCTGGCTTATTACATTGAGATACCCAGTACTTAATACTCATTCTACTGGAGCTGATTAAGTAACCACTCCAGGAACTCTCCAGATGACCCTTACGTAGAGGAACAACTGGTTACTATGGTTAGCAAAGAAAATAATTACAAAATATTTAGTAGGAACTATACGTTTCTTCTCCCTACCTCTCTGTCCTGTCCACATAACTCCTTAGCACTTGGTGATGCTCTCTGTCCTGCATCAAATTTAGAGTTTCAGGTCTTCGTAATTCAGTGTCCCTGCAGGCAAACACCAGGTGGAAGGGGGATTGGCCACTGATGCATAAACACTACTGTCAGACAAATCCTTCTCCAGATTACAGCTGTTTGTAAAACTAATTGCCCAGACAGCTTCAGACAACCACAAAGGTGGAATTTAAAACAACTAAAGAAATGGGATACCAAGTTAGGTCACAACTACTGCAGTTCATAATTTAATGGATGTAATTTCCTTAATTATCAGAATGATTTCAAAACACAGTAAGTTTGAATCTCTCTTAATGTTACATTCTGGAGACCACAGGCCTTTCTGCTCCTGGAAAGAACAGTATTCAGGGTTCAACTAAGTGCCAGGAAGTGTGCTCACAGCAGAGTGCACTCAGCACTGCTGTATCAGAAATGCACCACAGCCCACTGGGGGCAACAACTGTATTTACTGAGCTGAATCAACCAATGTAAGTACCCTTAAGATGAAGCCTGTATTACATCCAACTCTTCAAGAGTTTTAATGGCTCCAGCATGTTAAAAACAAGGAAAAAGAATAAAAGGGCTGCATGCATGAAATGAGTTACAGTGGAAGCAGTCTACACCTTGTGGATGGCACAAATGAAATATTTCTCTAATATATACTTAAAATTATATACATTAAAACCTGCCAATTGTCATACGGCTGTTTTTCCATAATCTCGAGGGCAATAATATTGCTTGTTTTCAGTGCCTCATTAAGAATTTTGCTCAGCTGCACCAGAATACAAGTAAGCTCCAGTTCCCTTGGATGCTTAATGAACAACCTGTACATGGAGATCCACTGCCACTCTCAAGTTAAATTTTGCTAACAATGGATACCCTAAAGCTCCTGTATCATTCAACCTGTACATGTAAGCAGCAGCTTACTCCTGACTAACCTGCCTTTCCACCTTGTTTTCTTCAGATGGAATTTATTTGTGTAATTATTTCTAATGTTGACCACAGATGTTCAAACGGGACAAAGTATCATAAAACCAAAACCAAATCGGCCTTTCAAGCCAGAAACATTTGCTTCATTTGGGGAGAGAACGTTACGTTCACCCCAAATTATTTTATGCTTTACTTATAGACACTACAGAGTAAGGAATGCTGACATATGCTGAAGGAGTTATCCTCCACTACAGCAGCACAGCTCCTATATTTACACACTGACTGCACATTTCAAGATCCCTGTTAAAACACTGCCACGATTCTGGAAACAATGGCACACTACTCTTGATTTCTCGTTCTCTTTGAAGACCATTTTTAAACATCACCACACTTTACTGACAGTGCAAATAATGACATACTGAGAGCTTGCAGTTTTCTCTCTCTTTAAAATATTCCTAGTTCAGCTGAGCTGGTTTTTTGCTGATTGCTTTGCATTCATTTTTGCTCCACAGAATACTGCAGTGTTTCAACAGTCTATGTAAGGTTCTGTCAGTTTTGATTTCATGTTATCAAAAACCTATCAGTTTCCTTATTCTCTGCTCTTTCAACAGGACACCCAAACCAAACCTCCTCATTCATATCCCGTCCAGTTCTGACCCATATTTACAGATAAAAATGTATCTGTTGTTTAATCACAACACAAATTAAAATCACAGAAAGCAAATATTACATCTGTTTAGAACTACATGCTTTAATTTGGCAGATTTTTTAACCAACTCATTTAAATCTGAGCATTGGTATAGAATAGTCAAGCCTTTTGATCAGTGCCATGGCAAGACTATGAATTCCAAACCTGGAGTAACAACATATCTGTAAGTGCTGTGCACGTTCCCAGTGAAGCAAAAGAAAACAAAATAAAAAAACAACCACCCAGTGAAGGTGCTCTGGATTCACCACCAAGCTTTGCAGAAAGCAGTGTCAGCACATCTCTTACCTGCTCTGCTGTAAATACCGCCTCGTGTCCTCAGCCTTCGGACATTCTCTAGTAGATACTGGCTTTGCTGCTGAGCTCTGTGCAGAACAACACGGGAGACTGAGTTAGCAACACATCCAGAATAAAGTACTTTAAAAGTCAGTGCATCTAATGCATTCGTATAGCTACACTTTTAACAAGCAGTATGCCAGATATCCAAGAAAGAACAACAAAACACATTTCAGAGATGTTTATTTCCAACTAGGCAGACTCAACATACAGAATACAAAGCTGATGCTCTCTAATGATGCCTTGTGACAGGTCACAGGAGGATAAAAAAGGAAAACATGAGATGAATACCTACAGCCTAATTTCAGCTATGAAGTCATGGATCTCACTGGGAGCAGAGACATACTGCTCCTGGTGATATTTTTCAACTTTTAGTTATACCCATTAACGTAGAAAAATGGAAACATCAAGATTAACTTATCAGTTCTCACTTGCTATGTTGCAATACAGTTAGCCTTCCAACTTGTAGAGCATTTTAGAATGGTCATCTTTTTAGACATATTGTGAACAGCTTAATTTTTATGAATACAGAACCTCCAACTTTTTTGACATTAATCATTTTCCACTATTTAAAAGTGAAAACCCCTTGCACTGTGCTGCCAGCAGCTGCCTTTTCTGAGTTCTGCTCATTTCTATGCTTTAAATGGCACCATTTGATATTGCACTTGAGATCTCCAAAAGGAACGCGTCTCCAATGGATATTTGTGCCACTGACATTTAACATAGCAACCAGTAACACAAAGTGAACAAAACAGAGGTGATCCTGCACGAAAACTACAAGACCCACACGATCCTACAAGAGCCACGATTTTCCTCTCCCACCCAAAAGTATCTTTCTGCTTCAAAACACGCAGTGATCTGAAATGACACGTGAACTGCAGCATAACAGGCACTTGTTCAAGCATACCAACCACCACCAAAGATTTGCTCAGACAGGTTGCTTATGCAGCATATAACGAGCTGCTGAAGTGTGAAGCTGTGCACACAGGCACTACTTGAAGACTCACAGAACATAAAAAGCAACGTGATGGGGCTAAAAACCCATTGCTGGAGTTTGATTTCTGAGGAGACTCTGCCACGTCTGCCATCCTAAAGCACACAGCGTTCACAGCAGAGGCTGCTGCAGTTGGAACAGAGATGTTTTCCAGTTTTGCCCAGTTCTGCATCTGCATGCTGTGGGTAAACAGGTGCACGTATTGTGACTCTCAGGAATTAGATGGCAGTTATGGGGATTCCTGAAACGCAGCGTTCCAGTGCAAGTATTACACACCAGCTTGAACAGAAAGATACTTCAGAACAAAAATGAAAAAGATATTGTTTAAACTTGCTGGGAGGAAAGAACAAAGAAGCTTTTTTTATGTGTGTGTCTATGTATGCGTGTGTGAAGTGTTTGTGAGTGGAGAAAATAGTCCAGAGCTATTCATGCCTGTACCCAGATATTTGCAAAAAGCTGGCTGGAAAACTTTCTAACCCATCTCAACACTTTTATCCACTGCTCTTTCAACTCTATGCTTTTGCTGACTGAGAACAGCTGCATGCCAGACTGATCTCAAAGTGCAACGTTTCCTGTTCAGACAGGTGACTGCATACACATCCAAGTCTGTAACCTGTGGTGACACCTCAGAGCCCTGCTCAAAGCTGAAAGAGACAGAAACTGTTTGCAGTATACAGTGGGCTTTTTGAACAGTCTGACTACTAAAGTTAGTCTAAATGTAAAATGTATGCTCGTGGCAGTAAGTGTCCTTGTAATCAAGAACAGCCACATTAACGGAGCTGCAAAATTCACATAGTAAATCTTTAAGTTGACAATGAGCATTTTTTCCCCTTAAAAAAGCCATTTATTCATTGAGTAATTCATCAGGTAAACATGAAAATCTTAGGTATCACCAGTTATCATTCAGAGGCATCAACTTCTGTGTTTTCTGATGACAACACTCCTCTGGAAAACCATTCACTGCACACAAACCTAAAGCACAAGGCTTGCAAAAACCCACAACGCAGCAGAAGTGTGGCTGCTTTAGACTCATCCCACAGCTCCCAAAGGACACTCAGGAGCAGCTTAACGCTTCAGCCCTGACCCTCCAACAAAGCCCGACAGATCCCTCAGATCAGACCACACCATACTAATATGTTTTTGTTTTTTTTTTTCCCCCCCCTCTATAAAAAAACCTGTGAGGACAAGAAGCATTAACGTAAACACAAAGGCTTTTCTGGGGCATGTGAATTTAATTAAAGTAAAAGCACCACCTCATTAGAGATTCGCCGCTGGTCAATGTACGCCATGAATTGGGAGCTGAGGCTGTCTGAGTCCACGCACTTGGGTTGCCTCACCTCTTCCTCCTCCTCTTCTGTGGCACAGCTATCGATATAGTCGATCTGATCGAGATCGTGTTCCACTTGATGCACACACAAAGGAAACAGCCATCGTTAGACGACCAACAGGAGGGGAAAATAAACAACACAAAAACAGTGCCAGGAACTGAGGTCCTACTGGCTTCCTTCCGTCTGGAAAGCTCAGTCTCAAAGGTGTTGGATTCTGCCTGGCCTGCTCATGTTTGTTAAACATCAGGTTTTGAAGTAATGATAAAATCCATGGTTTTCAGAAAGCAATGAATAACACACAAAACTTAGTTCTGAACTGCTGGCTGCGGATACTTCAGCAATAACCCAAAATTAATACTGTAACTGTCTCCACGCTTAAAGCATCTACCAACTAACAGACTGTGCAATGATCTGTGCACATGCTGAATTTATCTCGTTTCTAACTCATCTCCTTCAGACAAATTAGGATGGTTATCACATAGCTCTCCTATTTTTACTACTACAACAAAACAAAGAAGCCTGGCCAAGTTATCTGGAAGCAAAAGCCACAGTTACAAAAAGCGTAAGTGGAAGTAATGGAATATGTTACAGAAAGCAAGAAAGCCCTTTAAAACAACACAAAGTAACAACAGAAGTCTTATTTTACGTACACAGAATGTGCATTCTGCCCAGGAATTCTGGGAGTCATAACAGTGAGTAAACTAGCTTGAAAAATCCAGTGCTGTGGATGCAGGGAAAGCACGAGTTCCTTTTCTGAGTACCAGAGCTCTCCTGACCTTGAAACTCTCTCCAGACTTGCTATACACTCTCTTGCAGACATTCTTTTCCTACTCCTCCGCCTCTTTCCTGCTTGCCTATAACAGACCTCTCTTTGCCTCACCACACAATCTAGCAACTGTTACTGCCAAAGCCACCTCCTCTGCTACTGCACCCATCCAGAACAGCATTCCTATATATTTTGGCTTCATTTTACCTCCATCTCAGTTTCAAATCCTAAACAACTGAACAACAACAACAACAATCTGCCACCACCATCACCACAAAACAACACCAAACAAAAAACCACCCCACACTCAAAGATACCCAACAAAAGTCACACCACAAACACCACAACCACCTTCCTTCCAGCCTTGCTTATTAAACATTAATAACAATATTACAGTAGAAGGTGAAATACATTAGGAGCAGTGTTAGAAACACAAAACAGAGATCTCCTGTGTCACTGGCAGTCGTATGCTGAGACTTGCACTGACTGTGCTCCACTTTAAAGACTAAATGACAAATTTTGAAATGCCTGGTGTACAAAACCCAAAGAACAAAATAAAGTTAAGTCTCAGAGGTGCAGCTGGCAGCACTATCTGTTATGAAGGCTGCCCACGGCTTCCCTTAACATCATGTTTTCAACTCTTCTAACTTGGCCAAAATTTAACTGTAAAGAGTAAGACTAAAAAACCAAGATGGCAAAAACTGAATATGGAGAGGAGGAAGGAAGATGGAAATTATTGGGAAGGTACTCAGATAGGGTACATGAGCTGGAACCCTTAGGGGAAATGGAAAACAGCAGAAGAAAATTGAATTAGTAGACGTGGCAGTGAGTGAAACGAAGAGGGAATGACTGAAAGAAATAGATGCAGAAGAATGCTAAAACTGGTCATGGTAACAAAAAGAGGACTGAACTTTAAGCCAGCAGTAGCAGATTACTGCAAGCTAAAATGGATAAAGACTGTGTAGATCAAGAAACATGGGAAGCACTGTCATCTATGGAACAAATGAGAAAGTGCCATTTTAAGACCGCGGGGCAACAAATTGAGGTCTAAAAACATGATCATGCCTATAAGAACCTGCCCCTCTAAGCTGCCTCACATGGCTGGATTAAGACTTGAGATTCTGGAGCAAGGCATATCTACTGCTCAATGCCTGCTTCGTCAGGAATTCCCTGACAAAACTGCTCATCCTGCTGCGAAAGCAGTGGACACAGAGCACAGACCATTCCCTGCTGCTGTAATTTCTCCAAGAAGCTCAAGCAGCAAAACCTTCTGAGCTGAAATTCAAGATTCCAAAACACTATTCAAATTACTCAAGTGACCTCACACAACTGTGGTATATAGGCAGAAGCTGACATAATACCTCCCTGAAAATCCTAATTCTGATGCTGCCTGATTTTGCCTTTATGTAAAACACTGTTTACACAACAGCCTTTCTGAATCTTTGTCTTCGGCCATCCTATTGCTCATAGCAAATACTCCCAAACTCTCATAACGACCACAATAAATACTGTTAGCCAAAGATCACCATTTACCTCCACCATTGGTTACGACTGTGCTCCCTCGGTTTTCTTGATACTGATTTTCTCTTCGCAGTCTCTGCTCTTTAGTGATTTCTGCCACACGTAAAGGGAGGTCTGAGAACTCATCTGTTGGCTTCAGAAAACAAACAGAACAAACATTGTATGTTACCTACTGAATATGCTTCCAGATGTACACTTAGCAGTCTTCTTTCTCATACAATATGGCACTCAACACAAATGATTTTCAATACTTACTTCATTCCCTGACCATCTTTTGTCTCCACTGTCCACACTATTGAAGCCAGAATCAAGTGCTCCATATGGACGACTGGAATAAAGTTCCTCGTGGCTGTCAAACACAATGTTTTAGATACAGTAATATAAACACCACTGAAAATTTGTCACCTACTGCAGCTATTAAAAGCACAACAGGCTACCAAGCACAGCGTTAGCTCAGCATATTGGAAAGCATCACACTGCATTTGCCACGCAGAACGAGAAGGATGTGTTTGTAATTTGAAATATGCCTCTCAGTCAACCATCCACCTGCCACATCTCACACCTTGAAGAGATAACCTGATCCAAAGTATTTACCCATACTTCAAACATGACCTAACAGAAATGGTAACAAAGAAAACAGAATTGTTATTTCACTGCTTATTAAGTCAAGCTTTCATTTTCCATTACTGGTATGTTTTGCTTGAAAAGCACTTCTGTTTTCCTCCTACAACGTTTTTGCACAAATCAGCATAAAAGCATTATTACTAAAAATACACGAATATGAGGATATATTTATTCTACACAAACATACACAGAATGCACTACAGAACTGTCTTGTGCATCATAATTATCTTGCTCAGAAGCTGCACGGTAAGCAGGGCATTTCAAATACTTCATAACATAATAAATAGAGAAGTACAGTTTTCCTCTGTGGAGCCTGACTGTCAGTGACACGTCTGGATGAGGGCACCAGACCTGTGCCTGTATGACAATACGTACAGCCAAAGGGCCACTCAGTTCTCCAAAGTTCGGGGCTCAGAAATGCCAGAATCCAGCAGCACAGCCATCACAGATGTCAGGCCTGGCAACTGCTGCAGATTGCTGTAGCAGAGACAATGGGACTTGTCTGACCCGCTGCAGATGGCATTTCACAATGGCCCAACTGTCCTGCTGGCACCCGCAGCCCCAGGGAGAACTGCAGCAGTAATTAGTACACAATACGCATGGAAGAACGAACTTTGGGAAGCTAATTGCTTCGCCCATCATACCCAAATTGCAGGCCATCTTCTCGATGGTACTGCTCTCAAGTTGCTGCTCCCTTAAAATCTCTCTTGCAGGAAATACTTAGTTTTAAATGATTCTTGTTGCTGTTATTTAGGCAGCAGCGAATGCATGCGTGGGATTTCTACAGCTTCACTGCCCTTTTTTTTGTTTTACATTCCTACCCTGGGCTGGCTGTGCTTCCAAACAGACATAAAGTAACAGGAGGAATGGAGAGCTGCAGATGAGAAGTATCAGGCTATGCATCTTCTGTGCATCTGCAGATGGGCACCAAAAGACAAGCTGTGAGACCTTCTCGGTGTGTGCGTTAGATCAAAGAAGGCCCATCTCTACAGCTGGAATCTGAACAGAAAGCTCAGCTGTACAGTAAAGCCTTAGCAAAAAAATAAGGGGGAAAATAGTAACTCCTGTTTGGGGTGGGAAGAAGAAAAGACAAAATTGCCCACTGCAATCAATTTGAGACACTGACAGCAGAACAATGCTTTTATGCTAGCAGTTCAGAACATAAATAACAGATATAAAATATTGCTCATTGAGGGGGAAGAAAAAAAATCTGTTTGCCATATATTTCCATTTTGAGGGCACTGGTATTCTCAGAATCTTCTGAGAACCCTGACCTAATGTGAACCACTACACAGAACTGAGGAGCATCAAAATGCTACTTGATTACTCCTCAAACACAGAAAAGCCCTCTGATACACATTTTCATCTTCTTTTATAGTCAGAATTCCAAGCTGTGATTAAAATGCATTAATCCTTGTGTCAGAAAAGCAATTAATGAAAACGTTAATAGTAGTCCATAGTTACAGACAGGAAGCACTGAGCATGCAGGCTCATTTATTTTGGAATTTCTCTCTAAAAACAAAATGTGTCAGAGTGCAATCACAACAGTTTATCTTTCAGAGCCTCTTCTTGTCAGGAACAGGACAGTACTGTGCACAGTACTATCTGCAACAGCCTATATTCTAGGAAAGTGAGTAACACCCATCAAATACTCAAGCTCACCTCACACAGAAGAGTCAGTTCAGGTGCTCAGCACTGCTGAAATCGCTGTCAGTCCCTCATGCAAACCCTGCTTCAGAAATCTGACTCGTAACGATTTATTGTGAGGCCCTCTGGTTTGTTTTATTGCTGCTAAGAGAGCAGTGCATCCTTTAGCAACTTACTTCTCCACACATTATTACTATCTTCCAAGGTGACTGAGGTAATTCTTACATATATTTAGTCTCATACTTCACTGACTTCCTTTCTTCTGCTTCATGTAACAGAAATAAATCTTAACTCTCGCTTTTCTCCAGACATCTTCAAACTCAGCAGCTGATACAGCTGACTGTTCCAATATTTGTGTTATAATACTCAGCAATACTGCCAAGTGAAAGCTTGCCAACAATAACAGTTTGCTAATGGGGTGGAGATCAGCATTTACACCTGCAGCTCGAGCACAGTGGTTATAAAGTCATGTACAAAAGGTTACAAATCACACTGGGGTAAACTTCAGTGAGCATGTAGAAAATACTGAGATTTTATTACGTGAACTCCTGTCAATAATCAGGCAGCATGCCCCCTGCACTGCAAAGACACCAACATCTTTTTACTCTGCATTACCTCTAACGTTGCCTTTCAGATGCCATTTCCAAGGTTGTCTTCTGAACTACTCTTTGCTTCTTATAAAGCAGTACCTTGCTAGAATGTACCATGATATAACACAGCTAATGCTCTTCAAACCACACCCAGCAGCAAGCATGCCAAAGAACAATCATTTTTGGATCTACTTTCTCTTTTTTTTTTTTCTTTTCTTTTCAATCCAGAAGGCTGACAAAGCTTTTCTGAAGGGCATCTAAACTGAGAACCTGGGTGGTGCAAAACTTACCAAGATCCAAATCCCATGGGTCTCCTATCATAATCAGGCAAATCCGGAGCTATCTTGCATGCTTCTATGTTGAGATATTTAAATATGTGAATTTTCCCTTTTATACATATCTACAAAAGAAGAAAAGGGAAGCAAGTATAATTTTATAACGCATTTTCAGAACAATCAGCAGGGCTTTAATCTGCAGTCAAGAATATGAGCACATTCATGCCAACCAATGCATCTTCTAACCTTACTGCATTTTACTGAAACAGTGTCATCAGATGCCCGTGAGACAAATGGAAGCTCTCTTCCGAGTACATCTGGTCTGCATGCAACTCTGTCAGCTGGATGCTAAAATCTCAGCATGCAAATAAGATACAAGCATGTACAACTACTAGAATTTATAACCTTGGCTTAAGAACAGATGCATCCCACCCATGCCCAGCTTTGAATGGCAGTGGCAGGCTGCCAAAGCAAGCTCAAATGTGAAGTGAATGAAGCCAGCCACAGCCTGGCTTTCTAAAGGGAGGCAAAAACCTGAGGCAAAACCTTACGGAGATGACAGGTTTCAGCAAGTGCCGCTCTTGATTCAGAAGCAGCAGCTTACAGTAGAACCTGTAATTCTCAACAGATTATACATTAAAAAGGGAATTAGTCACTAACCATATTGCAGTCTCCAGTTCAAAGGCCAATTGGAGCACTTCTGCTAAGTGAATCAGCACACAGCAGCGCTGAGACCTCAGCCAAAACTTTGACATTTGAGCGGCACAAAACCAGCTTTGCCTAACAGAGCTTCCTCTCTCCTGTGCCCTTCCTAAAACTACAGCCATCTGAAGTCTCCTGCTAATAGCACAGTGCTAACCAGGGAATTTTTCACATAATGCCACAGGTGAGACTAAAGGGATAAATAAAAGAAAAATTGATTTTTCAAGCCGTACTGAATATTTAACACTTTCAGAAAATACAAGTTATTTAAAGTTCCCTTGCTCTTAAGTAAAGGTTCTAATACGATCCCTCAGCTTTTTGTTCCACCCTTTTTAATTAAAGGAGTCATGTGAATTCCCAACCGCAGTTTACCTGTGCAGGGGGTGACTGGAGAGGGTTGTTCTCCAACATGATGGTTTGCAGATGCCTGAGGTTCCTATAACAAACTGGGATTGTTGTTATTTTATTGCAGGAGAAATCTAATCGAATCAAAGGCAACTCGGCAAGCTCTGGAAGAAGAAGATATGAGTTTAATTTAGATTTAAAAGTATATAAAATTCCATGTATCTATTTTACAAAAAATTAAATGCAACTGCTGCTGGTACTCACAGCAATAAAAAGGCATTAAAAATAAAGAAGCGCTTTCAGCTGCTACAGCCAACAGTGTTAGTCTCACCTTCAGGTAAACGCACCAAATGATTCCTTCTGACATTGAGGTCCCGTAAGGATTCCAAACTGCCGATCTGCGGAGGTATGGTCTGAATTTCGTTACAGCTCACATCCTACACAGCACGAGCAAAGAGTTACTGCCCTGCTCACGGACAGAGGGAGATACTATGGCAGATACAAACCCTTCTTAGGCCAAAAGCAGATTTAAGCTGCTAGCGCACACCAGTGACTGGTTTACCATCACAAAGCTCTTAGCAGAATGAGAGACAGAATATTCATCACGCACATCCCCAGAGAGCATCTTAATTACTGAGCAGTTTTTATCAGATTATCTGAAGCACATCTGAACCTCTTAATTAAATCAATTTAATTTGATGCGTTTAACTTAATTAAATCCCTTAAGTTAAAGATTAAGTAGTGATTGCTAAAAAATAACTGTATACTCACGAGCTCCGTCAGCTGTCTGAGCTGCCCAATTTCTTCAGGTATGGAAACCAGCTTATTATTACTCGCTATCAGAACCTTTAGTGGGAGACTACAGAGGTGTACTGGCAACGTTGAAAGCTGGTTTCGACTTTTGGGACAGAAAGAAAATCAGATCATCAGAACCATCATGAGAAGTCACCTCTCGTCTTCACACAAAAAAAACACGCGCTGTTTCATTTCTCAACTCAGTTTCTGTATAATTACTGTAAAATTACTTCCACAAAGTCTTTACAGCTCCTTGAAGCAGCACTGCTTTATCTAGCAGTGTCTGAGCATGCTCTGAATATCAAGTACCAAGCACGTCCTGATGCTTCTGAACTCAGTGTTGGGGAACAGGACATTTCTGGGTGCTGCTGAAAACTCACCACCCAAAAGCCAGCAAAGAGGCAGCGCTGCAGGTGGGTGCATACAAAGTGCCACAGAGAAAGTCACTAGATACTCAATCAAAAATACACTTGAAATATTCAGTAAGTCACGTGGATCGAGAATTTCAGTACGATGAACTGGGCTGCTCCAAAATCCAATCTGTACCTTTCACAACAGACTGCTATTAAAGCAAATAGGAGGTCATATGACGAGACTGTGACCTCAGATGAGAATCACGCAGGATAAGAATGGATTATAAAGGGAAAACGACTCTCCTTCAAAACAAAACACAGCAAAGAGCTGTTATATTCCACCAGCACTCAGGTGCCCAGATCTGAATTTCACGGACCATCCGACAACAATATCCTCTCTCATGGGAAACCAGGCATACTAACTGAAAACTACTGGAACTTTCTCTGTGAGTACCTTACATTGGAATTAGCTTCCTTCCTCATACTTCACTTCTACCAGTTGCTGCTTAATCCTTATGTTCCCTAACCCATCCAAGCGGGCATTCAGACCGCTGAATTTCAAATCCACACAATATAACAGTGAGATGATGACACAGCGTCCACTATTCATGGAAGCATGCAAATTTAAAAACCTAGGCTACCGAGATGCTGAAGCAAAATTTTTAAGGCAATCATTACCTGATGTTTAGAAACGTTAAGGACTGTAAGTTCAAAACAGCCTCTGGGATGTATCGAATGCAGTTCTGGTACAAATTAAGGCTCTCGAGGGAGACGAAGTGACATGCTTCTGCGGGGAGCTCTGACAGTCTGTTCCGTGACAAATCTGAAGGGGAAGAAAAAAGACCCTTTCTGAGAAGCTATCTTCAACTTCCTGAGGGCAATATTGTGTGCATGTTCTCCATCACATCGTGGCAAGCACTGGACAGGATTCCATTCTGCCATCCTACCTGCAAAATTTTCAAGATTATGAAGTGATTCTCATTTGACAAGGGAAATAAATCAACATATTTCAAAACCTGATAGTGACAATGAGAGAGGCAGATGCAACATTCCTTTCATAGCCATGCTTTCACATCCCAAACTGCCTGAAGCTTAAAGGAGCTAGTTCAGAACGCCAAGAGCCCAGCTTCAGATCTCTGTTCCATGATCACCCTCACATTATGGATTTACAGATATATTTTTTTTCAATCACTGGTATAGAGCGAGTGCTGCTGTAATGGAGAAAATAATTTTTCTTTAATCAAACTGAAACTAAATGAGGTTTCAACCAAAGACCACAAGTACTCTCCCCCCAGCCTCCTGTTAGTGCTCCGTTGCATGGAAATCTCAGCTTCTAATCTCCAGTCCAAAATACACAATGTAGTGTGCACAGGGCGTGCTGCCACGCAGCACCAACACGCTCTCTGTAACACGGAGATGGCATCCCCTGCTTTGCACAGATCCCACCTGAACCCTGCCATCTAACCATGCAATGCAAGGATTTCAATCCCCAGTCTTTCCTGGCTGCAGAGAAATGCTCACTGTGAGCAGCAAGATTTGCTATTTCTTTGTGATCCAACATTTCCTGCTGAGCAAGACAAACTTTAATCAAAACTACCACCAAATGTGGCAGTTTTCTGGCAGAGGAGGCACAAAAAAAAGCACTGCACTGTTTTGGAAAAGGTTTAACCACAAACATGATAAATCTCTGGTGCTGTTTCTTTCACTTTATCATACCAAAGAATGCTTGAGACCAAATGTTTACATGCTGTTCTGTTGTCTGGACTCCCACAGCATGCGAGTGCTGGACACCAACCACGATTCAGTATTTCTTGAGAAATGACTTAGCAAAATAACACACCAAAGCCATCAGCAGCGATGACCGAGCTCTGCCAGCCTCCCCTCAATGCAATGGGACCAGACTCGAGGTTGGGAAAAGCAGTCATTGCACTTTGCTCTGTTCTCTTTCTCACTTTCTTCCTAAAAACACCTGAGCGAAAGGAACAGCTCTAACAAAAGCAGGAGAGAAGTGGCAAAGAATCCCAGCAGCCTGGCAGCGCCGTACACCTGCAGTACAGCAGCACTCGCTGCTTTTCCAAAGCAGAAAGTGGAAGTGAGGTAAATCAAAAGCACCTGGTTCAATGTGTGCAAACCCTCGTTACCTGACAGAGCACGAAATGCAGACAGCAAGCATGCTAATTTTCCCCCCCTCAAAAGCACAAATGCTGAATTTTACTAGGCTAAATGTACGAGTGAAATACACATAACTGTAACTTGAACTAGAAGTGATTCTTTGTGTTGAGCTTTCATGGGTTAAAGCAACCATTAACAGAAATCTGCTTAAAAAAAAAAAGAAAGAAAGAAAAAGGCACTCCTAGCCTGCTAAAAATGGATGTGTTTCCTTGAAGGCAAGACCATGAGGAATTTTGGCAAAGGGAGAGCATTCTTTGGAACGAGGCTCTTAGTGAGAGATGAGAAAGAAGAGTGTGCCACAGCAGCAGCTGGGGATGGTGGGCCCTGTGCTGAGCCCAGCTGCAGGTGTGGCAGCAGGGATGGATGCAGGGGGGCTGGTGGCTGCTGCCCCATGTGAGCCCAGCTGAGATGGCTTCTGCTGGAGGGCAACAACATTCCTCTTTTCCCTGACACTACCAAGCATGTGTTTTAACTTAGAAGTACTCTCATGGTTTTCCTTTTATACTAGAAGAATGCAAGATTTATTAGCCTACAGAGAAAATATATTTTAATATAAATAATTACAGCGGCCAACCAGTGACTGGAACTGACAGCTAGAAAAAAGGTGGAATCAACCACCTGAGGAGGACAAAGGACGGCTGTTCAAGAGCAACGTTCACAACCTGGGATCCCCATCAGCGGGGATGTGTTTACACACACAAACTCCATGGTCCCTCAGCAATAACAAGAAGGCTTTCCCACCAGCAGCTTCAAACAAAGCAATGAAGCAGTTGATGTAACCTGACAGACACAGAAAGCAGCCCACACGACCAACTCCTTTATAAGTGCTGCTCCCTGGAAATAGACTGTGTTTGTTGTGAGCATCTTTAGGTAATGTCACCAAGCAGAAATCTGGAGAGACTTCGTGACATCCTCTGACAGCTCAGTTATGACATTTAGAACCAACACTACCAGAACCATCATTTGCATTTCTAAGTGCATTCAAAGCACACTGTTATCCAAACATTAACTTTGCTTTTTGGTGCTTGTCATTCAATCTACTAACCAAATAAATACATGCCTGTTGATCCTGTTTTCATGGACTGATGTCCCACTTCTGGAACTTCTCAGAACTTGAAAGGAAAACCCAAGAGCAGTAATTGCAACCCTACTGATTTAAAGGAAAGATACCCATAAAGCGACTTAAAATGAATGAAATGAAAGCACAGCCTCAGATAGATGAACCACTGGTGTTACTGCAATGACATTTTCTTGTGCAAGGAGACTAAAACACACCGTAAGAATACCTCTCGGACACAGTGCTGAGACTTGGTAGTCTCTCTGCTCACTGCCTGGGAATATTTTCCTTTTCAAGCATTGGAAACACTGGAATCCTCAGAGCTTCATTGCACACTCGGCGGATTTCCTGCCACAGGGGTGATTTTACCTCTTCCTGCTGTGATGCAACACCACCGCTTTCATCACCCTAATTTCAAACAAACCTCAGAAATGTCATCTCACGACTTTACCATCCACCTGCTAATCCTGCCAAACCTCAACTCTTCCCAACTGTTTTCCTATGCATCTTAAGATATACCTCTTGAGGTCCTGTTAAGTCAGGGCAAAAGAAGGTGCCACTCACTGAACAGAGATGAGGCTGCTCCATCTGTGTTGTCAGTGCAACAGCACCACTGTCCAGGCACAACAAAGAGTATTCTCACCCTGGTTATTTTTCTAGTCCTACGATGAAATGCAGTCCCCAACTTCTAGCATCAATTTCCAACAAAATAAACGATGGAAACTGCAGAACACCACCAGAACGCAGTTGTCTGTGTGTGATTACTGGCAAACAGACACAAGTGAGAGGCTCTAATCCCCGCAGGGAACTGAGACTTCCCAATATCAACACACTTCGGCTGCTTCTCCTCTAGCTGTGGCTCTGCAGCAGGCCAATCAGTAGCCTAGACAAACCAAGCTGATGTCAGGCCTTATTTATTTCTGCTTCAACACACACTGTGGATTCGCAGTCAGCCAATCTAACCCAGCACTGTGACAGGAGGGAAGCATTCCTCATTGGCCACGCGTTATCATCCCCTCTGCTGTGCCAGCGCTGCTGATGGTACAACCACACAGCCAGTTGGATCTCATTACCGTGAGCAAATCCTGTGAAAAAACCAAAGCCACAAATAGATTCAGCCCTTCTGAGGCACGATCTGATTCATGGTGCTGCTGTGTAAGCTCTAACACATCAATACCAGGGAGATGATGAGACCGTGTGGCTGCACGTGCAGGGAAGAGAGAGACCACGACTGGTGGCAGCCCCAGGATCAGACCAGCTGGCTTATGGTAACCACAGATGTGCACTTTTCTGGTTCTTCACTACATGAGCTACTAACAAACTTGAGCTTCAGAGTAACCAGGACAGGGCAGGGTCCAGGCATCCATTCCCAAGGTTTCTCCTTACTATATGTACTTGTTGACACTGCGCAGTATTTTAAGGAAGGCACGTGGTGGAGCAAATCGAGAACTTCAGGAATGAGATGCCACTGCTTCTCAGATGAGAAGGGAGAAGAATTTGGAGACTTTAGATGAGAACCATGCTGAAGGAAGTCAGATGAGCCAGCAGCTGGGCCTTATGACCATCAGCAGACAAGAGGACAGAGTACAGGCAGAACACAAACTGTGGCTGTACGTGCTGCTACAGCACTGAAGGTGTAGGCCTGCACATCCATGCTTGAAAATAAGGATTAATTCTAACCCCTTCCTATGCAGTTGGATGTTTATAAAGCTTTTACATACACTCTGCTTACGACACATTTTTACCCTGCACTCCCTTGTGATCCCCTATCTTCCAGTAACTTCACTCAATTTCCTCACCAATTCAGGCACCCAGCCAACAGAACAGTCACGCTTCTGTTTTACACAACCCTAAAATATCAAGTCAAATAAACAAATATAGTGAAAGTAGCAATGCAATGTTGCAAGATATCTAACACTGAGGAAATGAACCAGGGTCTCCAGGTCACCAAATCCTGTTAAATTGGGGAAGTTCTGTTCATTGCTAGCTAGCTGCACTGCAGATCCTTCTTTTTGCATTATATATATATATATATATATATATATACATAGTATTTATTTGCAGGAAAAGCAGCCTTTGGACTATGCCTACAAAGCTGGTAAGGCAGTGCACACTCCCTTACTGATAAACCTGGATCAAAGGAGGCTCATTTGGCTTGACTCAAACCTACTCCCCATTGACTTTATCTAAAAGAAAGAAAGAAAAGCCACCTGTGTGGCCAGCCTTTCATGCTATTCTAACCAGAACAGTGTAAAATGGTATCTGAAAGCCTTGGAAATGCTCGCTCTGGGATCCACTTGCACTGGTGTTAAACTATCACTTCTTTGGACACTCCTCACTTCGCTGTAAGCTACTGATTCTGCAATGCTTGCTTGAGCATTTCCCAATCCACATCATGCAAGAACGCAGTCAAGTTAGTTCAGACTATTTTTATGCTGCTTAAACTGTTCTTGTAAATGTTGCCTGAAGCTGACTTGGGAGGATCTACCTGAACTCTGCATCTCCAGCGGAACCATGAGGTCAGCAGCTCTTATCTGCGCACTGCCAAGCAGGAGGAGCCCTGCCTTTGTGACGAAGCTTGGAAGGTGGAACAA